CATGTGTAAGGCCGCAATGTAATGCTTTTGCGCACCTTTTGCAACAAACAAATACATGAACTGTAAACTCAGTGAGGATTTGCTGCAAGGACTTCAATTCTTTCACTCTGTCTTAGAAATGTCCAACAACTGCAACAGACTGGAACATCGTTAGGCAGGCACTTCATCCATGACCAAGTACTTGATGGTCTTCAAGTGGAAGCCCTGGCAGGACGTCAACAGGACTCAGGACTTGCGCCCAAACTGCAGGACTCAGTGATGAACAACAACCGACCCGCGCAGTTTGGGATGTGGAATTTGCCTCGTCTGTGAGACCCAGGTCTATATTCGCAGGTCGTTCGTCTGGTGAGGACCACAACGGCCACAGCTCGGACCAAGCTGATTGAACCTCTTGAGCCCCCAATACCGTGATGATCCCTGCTGAGCACTTAGTCGCTTCACCAGCGGAAACCGGGCGTCTGAGTCTGCACTCTGGTCCAGGGCATGGTCCATGGCGTGGGCTCCCGTGCCATTCGTGTTCATGTCGCACCTGTCCCACACATGTCGCCATCCAAATCGACCAATGGTCACCACGTGGTGATTGCTGGTGAGTGCAAAACGCATGTGGACTTTTCGATGACCACGAGTCGGCCGATGCTTCGCCGTGGCCTTAGTATTCTCCAAGTGGTCAACCAGACGCCCTGGTGTGGCCACCACCACATGCGGGCGTTTGGCCAAGGCCATTGCCTCACACACACCGCGACGGTTGGATCGAGTCAGATCCTCGCAATCCATACCCTCTGGAAAAAAAAAAGAAACAACCTGACGCACAACTGCGGATTGGAAACACTGCGGCATGATGACAGTTGGATACCGTTTGCATAAGTCCACTTAAGTTGAACGGACTGTCTGCTGGGTTTCCGGTCACACTTCCGCACTCAAAAAGGCAACTTTTCCGCCCACCCCCCCAGCTTCGCAGTTCGGAGACCAAAGTCAGACTGTGGCCCCCATGATCTCCACCCGCCTGGTCAACCATGGCCAATCCTCCCACCACCGTCGCAGTCTGTAGCTTGATCGTGCTACCAATGGCCTCCCGACAAAGAAGAAAGCCATTCGTGTCCATCTCAACACACGACGGACGCGTTGTTTCGAAAAAACGCCTTGGAGCACTGGAGTACCGCTCGGCTGAATCTATCGGTGAGCGATGTCGACCAACCCCTCCAGCCCGAGCTCCATGCCGGTGCCGTCCTTTGACACCCGCCATGGCGGACCCATGTCTTTGGACGCCAACCGCCGCGGCGAGACGGCGCTTCGAAGCGGAAGAAAAAGCCCCAAGGGCCTTCGGCTTCGAGCGGATGGCTGGCCACGGCGAGACCCGGGCTCCGCGCGACGTGCCGTGACGTGCCAAGGCACGCGACGGGCTTTGCTTGCCCGTCCAGTGCCAACCGTTAGTCCCAAGCCCCCCGAGAGATGCGGTGCACGTCTCCGGCGAGCCTCAAATTGTTCGCCGATTTGGACCTTGGCCGGTCTTTTGTTCCGTCTCCCCCAGTTTGGGGGTCCGTGTTTTTTCCGAAAAAAAGAAAAGACATCTTGATCAGAAGGGTCCGTCATCAAGGTGAAACCCTGTGACATCAAGTTAGACCGCCAAATAGATAGGAGGTCGTAGATCCCCACTAAGAATGTGTTGTGATTATGCATATTGATTACAAACCTCACCTGTCATTTTTGTTTGTTGGTCGCCCTTTTGGTCCACCAATGAAAAGCTCCTTTTGCCCAAAGTCTGAGACTGACTTCCCCTTGCCACGAACAAGAAATCCCAGGGACCGTTTCGGAGGCCATACGGAGATAGGATTGCATAAGTATATGTATTTATTGTATAATTAGTATACTGCATGACCATATAATTTAATATGATTATGTAATATTGATGAATAGCAACAATATCGTACAAGATCATACAAGGGAGGCACTCCCCCAAGGCCGGCCCCCCGGTCTCCCCTCGGTGCACCACCCAGGGCGCCGCGCACACAGCTCCCGCGTCGGCGCCAGGCACACGGCGTAGAACCGCTGCGGGTCGTCCAGGAGGCGCTCGGCGGTGTCAGGCGGTTGACCATCACGATCGAAGCGAGATCTGATCTGAGAGGAAGTGTTGGGCTACTGAAATGAACATGAAACTGGAAGCGCTTGGAACTTGAACATGGATTTATCTGAGAGGAAGCGTTTGGAACTGAACATGGCACATGAAATCCCGCAGAAACTGCACATGTGGCTCCGTGTGGCTTATCAGTACATCCTGGAACATTGATCCCCCGACCTCCCAAAGCCACGCCCTTGAAAAATAAAGAAAGAACCATCGATCTGCTGAGCAGCTCCGCCTGCACGATGGGGAGTGCAAAGGCTCCCGTCTTGCCACTGCCCGTCTCGGCCAAGCCAATGATGTCCCGGCCCTGCAACTATTTGGACTCCAGCCACCCTCATTCCCTACAGGCATTCGCAGGGGGACGACCCCCCGAGCGAAAACCATCCTTGGCGAATAAGTGGCCAGGCCCAAGAGTGACAGTGTTCAACAATAAGAGACTCTAGACTGTTGATTGAAAAAGCCCCCCCATATGAAGATGTCAGAGTCGCTCTTCATAGATACAAAAGTCCATACAGGGATTTTTCGGTTCATCAACCGTTTACATGATGCCGTCCTGCAGGGCCCATCCCAAAACGTCCGTCCTGCAGGGCCCAGGGGATCGCTTCTTGTTGGATCCTGCGACGCCACCGCGGCGACGCCACCGCGGAGCTGGTTCTTGTTCCACCGGACATGGACCAACCTCCCAAATGGGACCCTTTGACCCTTGGCGGAATCCGTGGAACAAGCGTTGTTTGGCAAAAAACAGCACCCTGTCTTGAGACGGAAGACATGTGACCAGGCCTGAGGCGGTCACTGAAAGGGATCCAAATGAGATTCCAAAATTCTCAAAATGAGATTTCTAATCAATGTATCTTCCTAGGTTACAAAAAGAAAGGAAAAGCATTCTGACCTTTCGAGGTGTCAGAATCTGTAAATATATCAGATATAATTCCAAAAGTTAAATTAATCACAATGAACCGAAAAACAAAAAGCATGCAGGAGGGAGGCTTACCTACCAAACCAACGTTCCCGTCGTGCGAGTTCAGCGGAAACCGCCTCCGCACCTCGTGGGCGACGCCCACTTCATGAGCTTCACCGCTCGGCAGAGCTCCTAGCGGCGCGGAAGACGGAAGACGGCCGTCGGCACGGAGAATGCACCGGTTTGGGGTGGCGCTTGGCGTTCCTTTGGGGAACCGGACTTCCTCATGGTCCAGATGCCTAATTCTGGTGGAACAACACTGGTACTTTGTTGTCGAAGTTCAAATAAACGAGTCGAGTCATCTTCCGCCAACTAGTGACCTGTTGCGATTTCTCCAAGCTTTGGCACTCTGCCCTGCAAGTGTGTAGATGCAGACCAGGTGGATGGGAAGGTCTGTTCGCCAAATCTGATTGCTTCAGGCACCCGCTTTTTGCAGTTTGGGAACTGTACTTGAAACAATTTGGGGTAGACGGTAGACAAACAAACAAACAAACAAAGGAACTTTGTTCCTATGCTAGCTTGTTCTGATTGGCCCCCCGAAACCTCAGCAGGGCCCCATGATAGGAACCGTTGCTTGTCCAAGCCTGGGTGGACTGTCTGAGGATTGGCATTGACCCCAAAAACGGATGAGGGACCGAGGAAAGAAAAGAGGAACAGGTAACATGACCCGTAGCATCTTCCTTGCACCTTCTCTTTTCTGCATAAATCAGCCATGGGCAAGAGGACGAACTTGCGCTAGACCAGAGTTCTCCATGAAAGGAGAGACTGTCCCGCTACTTAAGCACTCAAGGTTCAGGAAAGACCCTGATATGTATATATATATATATTACATATATGACATGTATCCAAGAACTCACCTTTACCATGATATGAAATGCCTCACACTATGATGCCGGCTTGCTTTATACCACCTTTTGTTGGCATCCCAAAGGGCTCAACGCTCAGAAGGCGAAGTGGCCCCACTACCACCCCTTGTACGCGTCCTCGCAAACACCTAGAGCTTCAAAAGTCGTGGCCTGCCGTGGTCAGTTCAGGTTGACAGTTTCAGTTGCAGAAAAACAAAAAAGCCAGCACTCGGAACTGATTTCAACTTTCACCATAGAGCCAAGCAGCCAAACTGATATATACCACCTCTTTCATGGCAAACAACCTTGGTTTTCTTGTAGGTTATACAGTATATAATCTCGAATATTCCGACCAACTCCAACGCACAGTCTGCAAAATTGCAGGCTCCTCCTCCGCCTTGGCATTGGCAATCGTCGCGGTCGCTTCAGGTGTTGGCACCACCTGCAGCCAAATGACAAACGGTGAAGACCAGTTCTGAGTCTGTGGGGAAACACCCAACTCTGGTAGTTACTCGTTCAATGTGAATGCCCTCCCTTTGTCTTTGGAAAACGACGATGTGGGGCAGCAAATCTTCTCAACCTCAGCACAGCATCTTGCAATGATGCAAGTGAGTGACATGTCCAAGTGTCATGCCAAACGGCAAATGACTCAACTCCATGAATCAAGCATCATTCAAACTGCTCGGACAATATGCGCACAAAAAACAAGCCCGTCTTTTCAATCTTGCGTATGCAAGTCCACAAAAGCGCCAAGTCGACAAAACGCATGCACAAACGGTGCACAACGAACTCGTCGGTGAATGGCCTGCGGAACCCAACATTATGCGGGCTGTTGCGCGTCAGGGGTCCGACCCTCATCACCGTGGGAAAGCTTTGTTGCCAGGGTGATTGCTGTACAAAGTAATTTGCCTCCCACCAGGTCATCACACAACCTGAGAACTACACTCATCGGACTACAAAAGTGATATTTGATGTTTGCTCACTAGCATGCCGTGACACAAGGAGGCTCGGCTGAAGTGTATGGGCATGTTCAGCAACTCTATGCTGACCTTTGGGGACGCGGTGCGTGCATTTCCCGTCATTTGGCGGTCGCGGTGCGTGCACCTAGCTCGGCTTGTTCATGTAGGGGAACGCCCCCCTTGTCACCAAAGAGGAAGGTTTTGGCTTCATAAGTCTGGACGGTCTTGCTTTGCGGCCAGCGCCGGACCCAGCAAATACCAAGCACAGCGCTGAGGACAGACCTCGTCACCGGCGGCAATGCCAAATATGCCGGACGCTTGTAAAATGATGCATGTGCATATCATATACACAGTATATGGGTGTACATGGGATTGAGCTTTGCCCATGAACAAACGGGTGTAACACCGATAGAGCGACCCGCAACAGCACAAGTGGCGCAAAAAAATTCACTTGAACCGTCTAATACAAATGAGGGACATCGTAAAAGGTGCAGACCATTGCATTATGTCTATGTCAGTCTATGTGCGTATCTTTTTGTATATAATTATCCTTGATACTTTATACAAGTGTATAGTATACAATATAATGTACTGTACATCAAGCGGGAAATCCAACTGGTTTGCCTGATAATACTGACCAGGAGGAAAAAATGTGTTTCTATTGCTATTTTGCACTGAGTGGCAAATACCCACCAATCTTGGCCAGCAACATGAAAATCTGTGCAAAGCGCCCTACCTCCACTTCTTCGTCCACATAGTCGTTCATGAGTTTCAATGTCACCTGGTAGTGCTGCACTGTCAGATTCCCTACAGATTCTGTATGCATATCTGGGTACTGGTACTCAAGTTGCGAGGTGTAGACATTGCTCATCGGTGGGTCAATTAGTACCTGGTATAGACTCTTCCACATCGTCAAATTCGTGATCTGCTGAGCAAAGTCATGGAGACTTGGATGAGCTGACAACCTTTTTGAACCTTCTCTTCTCTTTTTTATATGAACCACTTGGACACCAGGTGTGAAGGCTGTCAATGTCGTCATTGTGTAGCGGTGCTGCCTCTCATCATGCACTCTCAAAATCAGCGTGGCATCACTTTCGTGAACACCAGGTGTCACAAACTTGTAATAAAGCTGCGCAGGCGTGTCGACAACATTGGGCTTCAGCTTTGAGACCACAAGGACAGCACACTCCCCAATGATGGGGTATTTGCGGTAGTGGATGTGGTTCAGCTGCACTGACTCCGTGAGATTGTATCCTGACACGGGGCAAAACTGCTTCACAGGAGACTTTGCAGCTTGTTGAATTGCATGTTGCTTCCCTTGGTCCACCGGGGTTGCAGCCCAGGTTTTGTTGGCAGTTGTAAAGGAAGTCAGCTGGCACTGTAGAGCTTTGGGTGCCGAAGTGGCCTGGCCGCTGCAAACGAAGAAATCTGGCAAGTGTCCGTAGTCGGTCGACCTTGTCATACTCAAAGCTGTTTGCTCATTCTCCATGATAACCCAACAGCGGTGACAAAGGTAAGCTGCAGGCATTCCATACAAGAGAACAACCATCACCCATGCAGCTGTCCGGTACTTTGCGTCTACCGTGTCTGGTAAGAAGAAAGCCATGGCTGGGTCAAGGCTTTCTAAGGCCACAAGAGCAAACAAAGCCTTGCTGCCAACCGTAGTCGCTTCACTTGAGCCAACTGCAAAGTTCAATCTGTCTCTTTCTTCATCAGCAGGAGAGCTGCGTACCAGAGGCTGTGAACCAAGGCGAGCTACTAGTAATTTTAATAATTAGAAGTGTTCAGACATGTACATGGCACCGTTCGCCTACAAGTATCTGAGAGTCTTTCAGCTCTAGCGACCGAACATCCTGTCGTGAGCGCCCACTTCCGAAACATCGCCCAGCCAGGCATCCCGACAAGAGCACCTTGAGTGGTCCATGGGTGAAACCATCGGAGCTCCAGCAGTGCAACCCGACAGTGTCGCTGCCAGTGTCGCTGCACCCGATCCGAAGGATGCGAGAACGCATCTCATGCGACCGCGGGGTTGATGTTTGTTGTGTACATGTCATACATGTTATGTTGCTGCAGCCACCACGAGATGGGGAGAGATGTGATATTCACACGATCCTTTGTACCATAGTGAGGGAGAGCGACACATATTCTCACACTATGAAATGTGAGCCTCATTCTGTGGCTTATCAATCAAACGATTGCTTGACCTAACCCAACGGATCCTGTTCATCCTCTCCCACCCCACGAGCCACAAGCTCGGTTGACCGATTTTCACCAGCAGAGCCGCGGTGAAGTCGCGTTCGGCGTTTTTCGCGAACTCGGCGCGCTCATCGTTGTGGTGCCTTGGAGAAAGCGGCCGTTCGAGCGGTCACCGGAGCACCGCAGTCGTTCGGTTCTTCGATGTTCAAAATGCATCGAAAATAGATCCAAAACGGACACACCAAGCGTCGAAGGCCTTTCCCGCGGCAAGGACGTGCTCAGGCCTCACACCTGCTTTCTGGGCCTGTGCGGCATTGAAGGTGCAAAACGTTCTACTTCGACATGATCTTCTCACACCAGATTCATTCCCAAAAACGTCTCAACTCTCACGGTCTGAGTAGCAACATGTCCACTTGCAGCCAAGTGTCTGCCCTGGCGCCATCTACGAAATGCTGTGGCCTCAACCCAGCTTGATGGGCCATTTGTGCACCTTGAAGCACGTGTTGTGGGCGAACACCCGCCTGGTGCGCCATCCTTGCACCTTCCAAGGCATGCTGTGGTCTGATGCCCGATTGCTGGGCATAGCGAGCTCCAGTCATCATGTCTTGAGCGCTCAATCCGGAGTCCTGTGCCAGCTTCGCACCAGCCATGAGCTCCTGAGCCGATGGAGCCACTGGAGCCACTGGGGCGGCCATGGGAGTCGCCTCCTTGGAGAAGCGCCTCTCCTCCAGCCTCTCAGGCGGGAAAAAGCCCAAGCCCTCTTCCTCCCTCGGGGGGTGAGACGGTCCCGGGCCCGTCTCAAACCGCTGCGGCTCGTCAAAAGGAGAGGATTGGTTCCCACTTGGCCAAGCTTCAGGTTGGTTGGGCCAGCGCTCTGGCCAATCTCTTCCTTCGGGTGTCGCCGGTGACATTCCCGCAGGTGCCGAAAGCGGTGCAGCAAGCGGTGCAGAAAGGGGGCCAGGCGCCTGGAGCAGCGTCATGAGGTCCATTGCACCTGCATCTTCTAAGATCTCGATCCGAGCGTCTGCTGGCATGCTTCGCAAAGCGTGTTGGATCTTTTTGGATCCGTAAAGCAGCATAGACCAGTTCTGAGAGGAGCCCAGTAAACGGGTACATTCCTGGATTTGCTTCCGTCGGTTGAAATACCGGCGCCGGATCTCAAACAAGAACAACCAGGCAGCCTCAATCTGATGGTTGCTGTAGATCGGAGCCTCTAGGAAGCCCTCATCTGACACTTCAAAGCAGCCTTTGGTCAGCATCGAAAAAGAGGTCTCCAGGTCCAGTTCTTTGGCCTGTCAATTTCGGCGACGAAGCGAGACGGCGGCTTCGATTCATGGAGCTCAGCCCACTCCCCAAATGCAGTTGAGTCTGGGACAAACACCAATACCTATTCAATTCTCATACGTGTCAGGGAAGGGTGGTGTATACAAACAAAAGCCAATGCACTTCGTGTGGTGTCATATTGCATGCTGCATGCTGCACAGAACAACAGGCGCAGGTATGTGGCATGTATGTGGATGTGGATGGATACTCCCACCTGCAAAAATCACACATCATTCAGCACTTACCCGCCGATTCGAACCTCGTTGTGGCTCTCGATGCGTTGTAACGCCTGGAGGAGCCACGCGCAACGCTGGCGCATGGCCACATCTTGGTGGGACATGGGCAGCGGCCATGACCGACCCTCATCCATGGAGCTCACGCACGCTGAGAGGAGGAAAATGTTGAGGCAAGTGAGGTAGTTGAAAGGTTTGCCTTGGGTATGGTGGCAGATAACCAGCCACTACAAGAAAATAGGCCCTTTTTGCCCTTTTGGACTATCTGCATCTATCTGCTATACTTCAGGACTCAGATTGGCTGGCTTTGGTGCTCGACTGGAGTGCTCGACTGGCTTGGTGCCTTGACAAAGGTTCTGCCGTTCTGCTGCTGCTCGAGGTTCAATCTGGATGAGACTATATACTGGGTGTCCAAAAATGTGCTTTAGTTCCGTTTAGAATTCAGATTGAAGCTTGAGCCAAAATCATGGCCGGGAACGGAAAGAAGCTTGGGAGGCTCGCCATCAAGGCCGACTCCGCATGTTCAACAGGAAACAGTCCTCGCCACTTCAATGCTGGTTGAAGTGAAAAACCGTCTAACAACTCCTGTCTTCTGGGCTGTTGTGGTAAAACGATGCTGCTGGCCAACCAGAAAAGCTCCCCAACATCAAGCTGTACGTCGGAATAGGGACATCCGGTCTTTCGAGAGTCACCACCGGCGTCGGGCCCGGCCAAACGACTGGGCCTCTTCCTCCGTCGAGGCCACGGGTGTGGCGACCTCGGTCCGGGCCACGAACGGCGACACCGACGAGGGGAAGCCCTTGGGGAGCGCTCCCAACATGCGTAGCTTCGAACACTCCGTTCGTAGCGATGCCCTTTGTTCCGTTCGTAGCTTCTTGTTCATAAGCCTTGGGGGGTTCGCCCTGCATGGCCAGAGAAGTCAGACTCAAGTTTTCAACCTTGCCAGGTCAGTTCTTTTGAGGCATAGCCAAAGACCCATACCACCTAATACAACCGAAGCTTCGCAAAACGTGCGGTGCCTTCTTCTTCTTGGCCTTCGCTTTCTTTTTGCCACTGGCCTTTTTGGTCAGCACCGCCTGGGCTGAAAACCAAAGCCATCAAAACGGGTCGCTTGCAGAAAGCACCAGAGCCCAACAAGCGAACTGTGCAGTGCAAGCAGCCCCTTTGATGCTTGCATTTGCCAAATCAGTCCAGACAAATGGCTGAGGTTGCTGCCATGTGCGTTGCACGGGATGAAAGCCCAGAGTTCAGGGCATGCGCGTCTTATTTGCACCGGCGGATAAGACCAAGGAGAGCTCGCGTGGCAAAACTGCAAAATCTCGTGGCTCGGAGATGGACTCAAGAAATTGTTGTCAGCTCACTGCTTCGAAAATCAGCAAATGAACTGCAACTCGGAGATGATCTCAGCTCGCTTTTACTTTGTCGGGTTGTCTCTATGTCTCACCCAATTCTGTGCCGATTGCACCTTGAGCGGTAAAAGGCCACCAAATTCAGTCTTAGTCCTGTCATCTGTGCAGTGTTCACCGAACTATGGGAGAGGTTCTGAAATGAGTCATCTTGCCCTCCAACGTTGCCCAAATTCGCCCTATTCTTCACTTTTTTACGTGACGTACCACATGGTCAGCGCATAGCGGTCATGGCTGGTCGGCCGCACTTCGTGGATCACATCCCTGGAGCGGAAGAGGATCAAAGAACCCCCATGCGGCAAGGCCTCGGGTAAGGCAAGGCCTGTCAGAATCGGCTGCTTGCTGTGGTGAAGCCGCATCCAAGAAAATGGGCTTCGTATATCCCCCGTGAGTTTCTGATTTCTCCCAAGAGTGGGTTTTGTTCAGCACAGATCAAAAGAATGACCTTGAAGAAAGTGGTTCATCACATTAGAATGTTCGGAAGTTGCTGAACTTGCCCCTGTAAGTAGCAAGGTCGGGTCGTTCGCTTCGGTCACCACTCAGAACCCTGTTGTCCGAACCTGCAGTCCGTCGCCGTAGGTGCCAAGCGGCATCGACGTAGGAGTCCTCTGCCCTGCTCTCAGCTCCGTAGGCCCGAAGTGCCCCATCGTAGGATTCGTCCCAGTGGTCCTAAGCCGAAGTCCTTCGATCGATCTGAAGAGGTCTTCGTTTTCAAAAAAAAAAAACGGAAAAACTCAGCTGTTGGGTGTCGTGGAGGGCAGCCAGCTGTTGGGCATTAACCCTTTCGGACCCATGCCATCCGACCCACTTCCCCTTTAGGGAGAGACGTTGGCAGCAGAGACGCTGCCAACCCGGTCGGAGGCGAGACGTGGCGATCAGCGTGATGGTCTTAGGTCGGAGGCTGGGCCTGAAACAATTAGGTCGGCATGTGCCAAGTTTCGTTCAGGTACAGGATCGCGGTGACTCTCCTGCCAAGGTGCCAGGAGAGTCACTCACAATAGGAACGCGCACGGTCGAACCACTGGCACAACTAGCCCAATAGCAGCAGCTCTCCTATTACACCTCAAGAAGACGACATACACCTGAAACCCCCATTGGTCGCAAGGAGACTCATTGGCAACCCATCTGTGTTCATGCCAACACCCTGATTGCTGTGGTAACAGCTGGTAACTGCTGGAACACGCGCCGATCCTCGAGACGCCGTGCGGAACCCCTCCGTGCGGAACCCACGACGAGGTCGACCGTGGGAGACAACAGACGTTGCTCGCATCAAACAGGTTGCCCGCCTGGAAGAGATCATAGCTCTCTGATCAGGTGGCATGGAATCCTCCAACTCCTCTAGTGCTGATCCATCCGTGTGGGCCACGTAGCCCTCAGATCCGGCGGGAAAGCATGCCAGTTGCAGCTTCGAAGTGGGTCTCACCCCAGTCGATCCACCTCTACCAAGCTCGTCCAGCCGTTGACAGACGGCGGCTAATAGGTGCACCGCAAAGGTCAAAGCGCTGTAACCCATCAGCTCACCTGAGCAGTCCAATTGCGGTTTCAAAGGTTCGATGGCACCCCAAGATGTCTTTTATATAGGGGTCCATATAAACCACCGACATTGGGGATTGTGCCAACTCTGAAACCACTGTATTGAAAAAGTAATAATAAATATAAATAAATAAAATACTGGATTCAGATGTGTTTTCTTTCCCAGGTGTTTCACACCCGGCAAGCTGTTTCAGGAGGGCACTGAGTTGGATGTGTAAGGGGGTCATAATATGTTATATATCGTGTTCTATACAATTTCCCACTGGTCACCATCCACAACTGGGGCGTGTGATTTTACCTGATGGTGTTGCAAACATGGGTGCATGCGCACAGCATGCCCGGTGCACGGGCGTGCAGGGTTGTACCTCCTTCCAGGCCAGAACGGGAATGGGAAACAGGATGAGTCTCCATCAAGATCTGCAGGTTTCGGGGGGCGGCCTGATTTTTGGAGCTTCAAGTTTAGCAGGTCAACTTGTCACATGGCTCACGTACCACAACCAGTAGAGAAAGCACCGCACCAAGAGTTTGCCAAAGAAACCTGGGCATTACATGCTACCGACTACCACCTCTTGAACGTATACCAATGTCGCAAAGCCCCAAAAGAATGCCTGAATGTCGCACAGGGCGCAAGTCTCCTTATCAATTAATCGATAGGCATCTCCTCGACCTTCTTGCCACCGATTCCTGGGATCGTGCTTCGCCCTGATTTGCCACGCGCGTTTGGGCTGTTGAAGGATGCTTCAAAAAATGCATAGCACGAGTATCAGCACCACACGCAACGGTGACAATCATTCGAAGGCAAAAAAAACGCATGATCTGGGACAATGAGTGAGTGAGTGATTGATTATATACTAATAGGAAGACATTCACATCTGTGCAGCCGTCCAAACTTGGTACATGGGACATGGCCATGTGCAATAAGAGCATCGCTTCGCTCCACACAGTGCCAATCAAAAAGTCATTGTGTGGTCGAACATTTGTCCGAATAAAGATGATGCTTAAATGATGCTTCATGTCCAAAATGTGATATCACTGTACCGCTTTTCAAGGGGACCTAGCGCTCCCCGCATGGAGCTGCCATGAAGATAGATGCCATGGCGGCTCACACGAAGAGCTTTACAATGCTTTACATGCCAAGTGTTGATAGATTGGAACCGTTGTTTACATGCCATGTTTTTGATAGATACCACGGTACCAATTTTTATGTACCACTCTTTAGATGCGATGATTGCACATCGATGTGCAGTTCACAACGGCACCAATCATCATCGCCTCCCGACCAGCACCGACCGTCCAATTGCCCTCAAGCAACCAGTACGTTGATGGTTGCAGACTTTGCCGAAGCGCTTTGGCCTACGGGCTACGGTCGCAGTAGAACATGCACGTCCAATCGTGGTCTGCCGCAATGTAGACTCTTGATGATATTTCAACCTGCCATAATGAAGAGTACAACCCATGTATGGGGAGGGGTTCTATTGATCGTCTACATTAATGTGCTTCGACCGCGAGCACGGCCAGTTTTCGCTTTGAAGATGGCTGCATGCCAGGCCACCTCCATGTTCATCTGAACCGTGAGCTTGGGGCCGATGATATTCATCAAGCAAACCAAGCCACCGTAGTCGCCTCATTTCGGACCCAAAACATCTAAGCTCCCCAAAAGGATCACTTGAACCGCGCCTTGAACGGTCTTCAAGGTGTCCCAACACATGGAGCGTTTGACCAACAAGCTGTGCACATGTCCTACCCCAGAACTTATGCTCTGCAAACAAAGGTTTGACCGGACAAAGCTAGCTGCCCGATGCTTTCGACATCACCACCAGGACATTTTTGGGAGACAAGCAGCATCCATAACACACCAAACAGCAGCTCTTCTTGGCTCACCCTGTGGTTTGTGGTCTTTTCCATGGTCGAATCACAAGATATATGGAAAATCGGCGCTTCTTGCAGCTGGATGCACTGGCTGAGGTCACGCGGGACACCGTCTCAGCATCCAGTGCTGCTGTTGCTCTCCTGGCCGCTTCCTCGAAGCGAATGCTTTTCGGGTGCGACGTCTCAAGGGCCCGGTGATAGATCAAGTTCGATTGAAATCTGGAAAAACATGAGAGGACACGTGTGTTTGTTCATGTACGACGATGTACGACGTAATGGTGCTGCGGAGACCGGAAAGCCGGTTCCGAAAAGAAGTCATCCTCGGAGCCACTGGAAAGCAGTACCCACCAGTTGCACCAACAAGATCCAACAAGCACCCACAAGAAAAGCCCTTTGCTGGCCGAGCAGTGGACCGCATGGACCGCATGGATGAGGCAAAAAAGGCGTCGGTGGTGCCCTCTTCGGCTCGGTTTGTGGTGGCTGGGAAGCCCCTGATCGGAAGTCGAGGTAACAATGATAACAGTTACATACAATTATGTGTTCAACAAGGCACCCATTCCCCGAAAGGGGTTGGGTAAGCGAAGCACCTCTTTTTGCTTGCATCAATTCCTTCCGAGTCACTGTGGATAGGTCGGAGGCAAAACTCACAGTCCCATCGAAGCCCTGGGGCACTTGCCTGTGACCGTCGAGCACCTCCAACCCCTTTGACTTTCTATGCGGATGCTTACCATATGAATATTAGATCTATTTATATTATATGCTTATTACATGCTGTACATCGAAAATGCATCGTGAAAAATTGCTACTCAGCGGCGGGAAGGTATGCAACATTGAACTTCCAAGCAAACATCATCCAGGAAAAGAAGTAAATCGACTACACCGACATCTTGCTGTGATCGAAGTGAAAAATCGAATCTGGAATCGCACGAAAATGCCAACAAATTCCACGCAAGAAAATGGCGTGACAATCGCGGTGGTCTTCCAGGTTTTCCGGGGAGCTTGGAAGAGCTGGGCGAGCTGGGCGTGGGTTCGACGGTCCATCTTGTAGTTCACTTTGTACTTGTGTAGCCACGGGAAAATGGATCATCTTGGTCCATGTTGGTCCTGTTCCTAGCGGTCCTACCGGCCGTTTGCTCTCTATCAACTGAGTGTCCACTTCCACTGGTCCTCCGTGTTCACCGTGCCTCATCATGGGCGGCGCTAGGGACCCTCGCCCGCTGCCTTTCTGCAGCAGCAAACCCAAAGGTTCGGGGGGGTGCAAACCATGGTTTGCCTCTAGATGTTCCCTTCTGGACTGCTCCTGGAATCTTTTTCCCTTCAACCACTTCTGGAATCCTTCTTGATGCTGCTCTAAGAACCCTTGTCCCCGTGCGCACGTGCTTTTTTGGAACGTCTTGTCCCGGTGCGGTGCGGTGTTTCCTTGGCACCGGACCAGAGAAGACGATGAGACCTGAGAAGCGGAGCGACCAACACGGCGAGCCCAACGACGGTATGTACGGACCGAGGAGTCTCATGGGTTCGGCGCAAGCACCATCCCAAGACAAGCAAGGGGTGCTTGGTCTTTTTCTGATTCTTTTCCGAGGGATTGGCCATAAAGAGTATTGGGGATTTGCCAAGAGCTTTGAGGGGGGAGACAAATAGTATACACCATACAATACAAGTCTCAAATGATATGAAATGCATCGTCGCTGATTCTTGACGCCTGTTATTTCTTAGCTGTGGGTTTTTTTGGGGTTCCGCCTGCACATCCATCTCCGAAAACGTGGACAACGACGGCCCAGGAATGGTCCCCCGATCCCTGAACAATGGACACACTCAAGACCTTTCAACACCACACATCGCACCCATGCTTCTTGAGATCTGAGATCTGCGCAGCTGGTCACGCCCATGCAGCGAAGGATCCGCCGCTTCATGGTGTCTACAAAGGGCTGAAAACGGCTCGAGCGAGAAAAGGCAAGGAAACTCGCGTCCCCAAAAACTCCTGTTGCATGTTGACCACTGCAATTTCCCTGCAGAAACAACTGAAACACCCACCATGGTAAATATCACCCAACAGCCGAGACATGGCACGACAGTTGCAAAATGCCGCAAGCCTGGCAAGCTACATATTCAAATGGTTTGGTAAGGTAAGAGTTTGTTGATCAAAACCAGATAGGAATCCCGATTTGCGCGGCGCCACTGACAGCCGGCGGCTGCCAGCTGGACCACCGCCCACCGCACGGCCCCTTTTCTCCAGCGACGTGCAGGTGGCCCGGCGTCTTCTCCGCACACGGTCCGGTGGGTGAAACTGCGGTCCGCTTGGCCGGTTGGGTGAGACACATCGATCCCCGGACAGCGGAGTCGGTCAATCGAAGTCGGCGTCGGTCAATGGGCACTCTAGTGAGAAGTAATTCTTGAAATCATGTGTGAGAGGTGGGGAACAGTTTCCTTCATCTTATGGTGTACCATGAAAATCACAGACCTTTAGTAAACTAAGGCCATACTTCACAGACCGCCGTTGACTCCAGAGCCCAGCTTTCAGCTCAACCCATGCCTCAGTGCCTGGCTCGCGGCGATTGGGCAACGCTGACGTGGGAAGCTTTATGATGCTTCAGGTTCAACAGAATCGTGTTGCTTTTGTTCTCTGAGGCCCATTCTTAAGGCACCTCAAAAAGAAGGAACGTTCTTTGACCGCAGCTCACATCTCAAATTCTCTGCTTCTTTTGCTTCTCTGCTCCAGTGCTTGTGCCTGACCACGGTGTTCGCTGCATGATGGGCCGCCTCAACATACACCTAAAGTCCCAACACAGCGTGTCACATACACCGAAAGGGACGGAACACTTGGGTGTGGCAAACGACTCGCTTGCTCCAGCACTCACCACTGTTCGGAAGATCAGTGATCACCTTGGTACAATACTTGTTGGATGGGCTTCGTCTCGGTTCCTCCGCTTGGATCCCACAAGCTGGCTGACGTCGAAGTCGACCGAGACCCGCAGACCGAAACCACCGGACCCGAGACCCGCCGCCCGAGGGGCCGTCTTGTCGGCCATGCGCTTCACGGGGACGTGGTTGAGGTTCACCTAGAGGGAGGTCGGGGACGTGGCGGGTGGGAGCAAGGAAGCGGGAGCAACTAACTCGGTCGACTGAAAAATGAGGAGGAAGAGGAGGGAGCAGAAAAGGAAAATGATCTTTCCACCAAGAAATAGGGACGCTCTCGTCCCCTTCTGCCAGGCAACAGCTCCGTTTCGCAGTCCCGGCCTTGCCGTTCACCACGAGCAGTGGATTTGGGGCTGACAGCACATCCTGTCAAGTGGAGCTCTGACAAGGACAAGGACGACATGGGATCAAGGGCCACGTGGTGCTCAAGGATGTTAGGTTGTTCAGCTTTAATAAGAACCCATCCAACTACCCATTATTGTTACAATGTCTCAGCATTGCGGTGATAGAGCCACCTTTGAACTATTTTCACCGTACCTCAACTTGTGCATGTCTTTCGCTGCCCGCCTCGTTGACGCTGACACCATCCAAGAATTGTTTCAGAATGGAGCGCAGCCTCAGTTCACAACACATGAATACCCAAGGTCCTGCATCTTGGGTCTTTCAAGTGGATCTGGATCAAAAATCGGGTGCCATGTATTGCCCACCTTGGACATGGAAAGAAAATGAAACCAGATGTGCAGCTCCCTAGGATCCCTAGGTGTTGTTATTTGAGAGCCAATATCAAACTTTGGAGGCCTTTCCCTTTTTGCAAAGTTGAATGGCACTGCTGTCAAGTTGCTGTACATTCTCCTTGGTGAGACGTTTTCCCTCCTGTTCCAAGTTCACCCCTTGCATTTTGAAAGCTGGATCAATCAGCAGCCAACAGAACCAACAGAACAGAATCTGGTCAGCCTGAAAACTGTCGGATGTTCTGCCTAGCCCGATCTTTTTGTTTAAAAAACAGGCGCAAAACGACAACGTCACCGCATTCATGTCTGTCCTGTTCGACTGCATGGAGATCCAGCTTCACCTCAGCGTTGCTCACCCGAACCCAAACGGCCCGACGCGGCGTCGGGGTTTTCACGACGCTCCGGTTCCCGGGGTTCACCCGAGCAATGGCTCGCCAAGGAGCACCAACCCTCTATGTGTTTTCATCTGGACACTTCGGACACCCGAACCGGGGCATGCTTTTTGGGATCCCCCCGAGCTGGTCCTGGCTTCGAGTTCCGACCCCCCTTCTGTTTGGCGCGGCGCGGCACCTCCGGCGGGGCCAACAAACGGCGAAGTCTCGCTCGCGCGGTGCATTTCTTCCAGCTGGTCACGCAGACAGCCCCGCTCACCCGAAAACCGCACCTTGTTGAAGCGTTTAAAGAAGTTGTCCAAATAGGTCCACTCGTCGATGCCGACATCGGTGAGCTCTTTTCGGATCTCCTCTTTGAGGTCCTGGCCAGGATGGCGGCTAGTATGGAGGCCGTAGAAACCGAGCAAGCTTCGATGGGCTGGGCGTTGTGGGAAGCCGGTAAAAAAGATCGTTTTGACGAGACCGGTGTCCCAGCACAGCGTGCCTCATCTCCGAACTCGAGCTCACCTTCCTCAAATTCTTGAAGGATGTCACGAGAGAGGTAGAACGGAAGCACCTGTGCTGATGGGAAATCTTCGGAAGCTTGCGCCCATGTCTGTAGGGAAATTGGTCAGACACTCGTCCACAAGCAAAGCCTTACAAAAGATTCAATTCCCACCGCATCTCACTTCCACTCAGCGCCTTCTCTCGCTCTGTTTCAAATTTCCTCGAGACGGGAGTAGACGACGACGGGGCCATGCGGCGCTCTGTGTGGGCCGGGTCTTTCACCGCAGAACGGCTCGTCACGGCAACAGACGCAGTACTCGTCCGGACGAGCAAAACACGCGGAAAGTCCATGAAAACGCCGTCTATTCCCAATCCCTCCAGGTCAGTTTGACCTCATTTGACTGGATCCGGAAAAGTGCAAAACAAGTACTCAATGAGGCCAAGGACAACACCACCCGATGTTCTCCTTCCCCACCATGCAAACCGTTTTTCTCCTGCACAGCTCCGCAGTTTTCAGGATCCGCTCGGCCAAACCCAGCTGGTCGTTGAGCGACTTCATGCAGTTCCTGGCGCCCAACACCGGTGCATCAGGAAACGGTACAGAAACTCCGCGATACCCCCGCGTGACCTCGTGAAGCATCCGGGGGTGAAGGGTTGGATAAAGGGAAATAGACCAGTCTACCAGTCTACCCGATTTGGGACCTCCCTATGAAAATACACACCCATATGTGGAAGACACACAATGTGAACTGGATTGAACTGACTGCAGGTCAATTCTGACACAATGTTGCATGCGCATGCATGTGCTGCATTGCAACACGTTCACCGCTGTCACCGCTCGTGCACAAATCATATAGCCGCTGGGCAGTTCAAATCACTGACAATGATAAACAATTGAACTGAAACATTTCTATGTATATATATTAACACATACATAGACTTGGGGCAGGGAGCAACCACCGGAATCCCTGGCCACTTCACAAGTCTCCGTTTTTCAGAAGGCCTGGCATTCATGGTGAGGTCAGCCAAGCGCTTCTTACCCTCACTTCTGAAGTGATTCATCTTCGCTTTCAGCTCCTTTCCAACAGGATGAGGAGTCAAAAAGGGCACATCAGTGAAACAAAGAATGTGGGAAACAAGAGGTCAGCATCTTCGACGAATCCGTTTTTAACAAAGGTCTGTTTTCTGTGGTCTCCCTAGTGGGTGCAGCAGATCTGCGCAAGAAGAATGTGTGCCGGGACAAAGACTTGGCAAACACTGCACCCGACCTGAGCTCCTCTGCCTCTATACACCCAAATGAGAAAGAGATGAACGGATCTGCAAGCTATGCAAGATTGTAGATTATATCTATACACATATCTATGTATTAGGTACAAGAAGTCCAGGCCCATGTTCTTGGATCCAGCATCTTCCGGGCCAAAAAAGGAGTCGGACAGAACAGGTGAGTCTTTTCCTTCGTGTCTGCGCTTCAAGTGCCCACCGCGGTCTGTGCCTGAAAATGCTTCGCAATGTGGTCCTTCTCAGTTCGCAGTTGCTGATTGCGGTCCTGGCAGTCAGAGATCATTCTTCCCATCTATCTTCGTCCAAAGATTGGCGTCCCATCGACTTTCACGCGTCTCACAATGTGAAGGACCTCACACACACACACACGTGATCCTTGGAATTCTTGTTTCCTCGGGGTCTGGTCTTCCTCTTCCTCAACACCGTCAACTCAAACGTCTCGCAATGGCAATGAACGTCGGCTTCCCTGCCTCACATTCTTGGCGATTCTGTGCAATCTTTTGCTTCCAGTGCTGGATAGCAGCCTGCAAGGTCCGGAACGTTGCACGCACCCGGCAGTGCTTCTGGTGCTTCCATCACCGAACACCCACCGAAGTAGACCGGGCGGCATCGTTGCAGCGCCTGCATACGCTCCACTTGCCTCAACCGCTTCTCCACCTGGCTGACACGCGGCTGGGTCATGGTGATCATCCGGAACGCTGTTTCTCAGCGGACTGTAGTGTTGACTGTAGTGTTGACTGTAGTGTTGACTGTTGGGCTCAGCGGAAATCAACAACTCATTATATAATCGATGGATTGGCTTAAGGGAATATCTATGGGTCTCCGAGTCTCCTGTAGATTTTCCCATGCCAATTCTGGACAACTGGTGGGGCTTGAGTTGAAATTGGAAAACATTCTACTCCAGCTCCGTGAATCTCGCCTGGTCACTCAGGAAGGAGTCTCGCTTGAGGTATTCCTGCACTGCACACAACCCAGCTGTTCCTCTCCTTGCTATTGGCCTTTATCTGCATGATTTCGACTTGGTTTTTAGATGTGTTTAGAACCAATCCTTCAGACATTTTGAAAAGAAGAAAAGTCATTGCGACACTAATCTTCACTGCGACATGACGTCACCGGGGTGCCCGAAACCCAACTTGCCCGTCTCTGCCATGGTCTTTTTTGTGTCAAACTTCCACTTCCACTTCTTTCTTCGTGGCGTCCAGCACTTTGGCCGGCCACGTCCACGTGGAGCTCGTGGAGGTCGACGGTGTCCGCGCTTCACGCTCCAACCAACTCCGCCAGACTCCCAAGCGCTGACGGAGCGGAAGGATCTCGGAGCTCCAGGGAGCACCCAGCTCCATGAGACCAAACAAAGGCAAGAGCTCCTGAGAAACAACGACCAAACGAACGAGTCTGGGGGAAAGTGGAATTCTGGAATGCGAAGTACTGTATACTGTATACAGTATACACCGAAAAAAACGACGTAAACAGGCCAAACTAGTGCCAACAGTCATCAAAACACAAAGCCTCAAGCCAAGCTTCCGACAAACTATGTCCTCTCTGCCGTCCGGTGAGAGCCAATCGCACTGGCAGCAGAAGTTTCTTGCCCTTGAGCCCCGTTCGTGCAAAATGCTCTTTGAGCTCGTCCCAGGTCAAGCTCCCGAGTCCTTAGCATCAGAATGCTGAGGGCATCGACTGCGGCTCCCCTGCGACTCGAGCTGTTACGGTCGATCATGGCGTGAAGAGATGCCAAGGGTCGATCTTCATCCAGCAGCTGCAGCAGCTCCGCAACCACCAAAGGCATCTCATCTGCGTGGCGCGTGCTGGTGTGAAACATGCCGCACATGCGGCACAACTGCATGACGTAATGCTGCAGATTGATTTGGAAACTCCAGACCCACTCCTCCTGCCTGTCCTCTGCCAACCAAAACCGCCACACCATGCCAAACCGCCACCTCGGACCACACCTCCACCTCTCCAGAAAACCAAACACACCCAAACCAAAAACTCCTCAAGCATAAAGCCCCCAAGAAAAGAACTTGGCCTGGCAGGTCTTCTTCCTCGAAGCGGAAGCGGATCTCCGAGTGCAAATGCCGCAAGGCGTCCCGCAAGTTCTCGGCGCCGGCGGCCGCCACGCGCGCCGCCAGGGTGAGCAACGCCGCGTCGTCCGCAAAGCCATGGAGCACCAGCAGCGGCTGCAAGCGCTCCTGAAGCGGTGTGAGGATCGTGGGGTCCCAGCTGGGCTGGATGTCTGTGCTGCCTTGGATAGAAGTTTGGAAGCCTATGACATTCTGAGAATCTGGTGGAAAAAATAGCAAATTGATGCAAAAGTTTGCGGGCTTCTCTAGTGGATTGGAAATGATTGGAATGGATGTCTGGTCTGCGTGAATCAAGCAAGAATCATTCTCCGACTAAAGCTTGTTTTTGATGCTTTCAGCTTTCAGCCGATTTCTGGTACCTTCCCTCTACATCCATTCCTTTTTTACAATCGAGTCGGTTGCTTGCCTGATGCGTTGCGCGGTATGTTTCTTCAACCGATGAAAAGAAACCGGGGCCATCATCTTCGGATCTTCGGATGCTGCATCTAGTCGTGGGCCTTGCAATTCTTTTTCCATCTGGTCCATCTTACCCCCCCCACCGTGTAGCTGCGTCCTCTAAGAGCTCCCGTGACATCGGCTGATCCAGCTGCGCGCGGGCGTGGGCATCCCAGGTGCCGAGCTGCGCCGCGAAGAAGGTCGTCAAGTTCCCGAAGGTGTTCCGTCGAATGCACAGCTTGTACCTGACACGATGCCGTCTTTCGCCCCGGGAAGCTGCCCTGGGAGTGGACACGGAGGGGCTGTGGAAAGCATCTGTTTGGGAGGTGCCAACGGGAGCCCAAAGTAAATGGGAGGAAAATACGACACTCCTTTAACACTAACATGGAAGTGGACAATGGTCTACTTTCCCTTTACGAAATGGGGCGCTTCATGATGTTTGTTCTACTTCCATGTCAGTGAGTCCGGGAGTACACTGCCTGATTGATTCTCATGGAAGTGGATAGGATGGCCCCCCATTCATGGCCATGAAATCCAAATAATGTAGACTCTTGATTAATACACCCCCCCTTTGCAGAGGATGTTCAATTCAAATGGGGGGGTGTGGTCATCAAGAGTCTACATTACTATGTCACTCGTGGTGAAGTCACTCCACTTCCATGTGAACATCCGTCGGAGTGTGCATCCGTCTGTTTCAGGCGAAGCACACATGCTCTCCTAACCTTGCAGACCGCACGTAGCCAATGTCCCTCGATTGGAAGTCCTGACTCCACTTGCGTGCAGTGGCCCAATCGGAGAATTTCGTTTCAAAGTAGGCCACGGTGGCAATGGCCAGTTGCCACTCAGGAGAGACACCCACGAAAAATCCCCCCACATCCTTGATCAAGTGCTTTCCATTCAGATCCCAGGTGAACTTCCCACTCACGAAGTAGGGATTCAACGCAGCTTCTTCTTTTCCAATCCCCTTGTAGCGAGGCCCCAAGTAGCGCGCAGCTCCACGTTGCTCCTCCAAATAGAACTTCACCCAGTTGTGCAAACCGCCCACCAGCTCTCGCCCATTCAAATCTTCCGTGGCCTCGCCAATGAAGACATGCTCGAAGCCACACCTGGGCGAGCTGGGATGTCGCTGGAACCAGATGTGCCACAGTTGCTCCCGCCACTGGACATCACTGCGAAGACTGGCTTCGTATTTCTCCGCTTCTGTGCGGGCGCGTCGCATCACTGGCATGAGCTCAACCACATCAAGGAGTTTCTCGATCTTTTGCCGTTCGAGAGGTGTGTAGTCCTTCCTGCTTGGGCCTCTGCTGTGGAAGACCTCAAATACATCCAGCAATGCCAGGAAGGTTGGGCGAGTGAATAAGTGCGGCTGAACAAGAGTGAACAAAGGCCTGTAGTCTTCACACTTATCACGTGGGCGTTCATCCACGACGATGTCTGTGAGCGTCACATTGCCATCAGGTTGACTTTCAGCCATCTTGTCACTTCTGATGCTCTCCACAGTGGCTCGGCCATCATCTAAGACCCAGAGTTCGGAGTAGAGGCTCTTCTCACCCCCTCGGAAGGCCCGAGCCAACCTGGGCAAACGAAAGACCGAAACCGCCGTTCGAAGTAGAGGCCTTCTCAAGTTCTTCGAAGCCAAGCAACTATGCATCGTTCTGCCATCTTCAAGGATCAAAAACTCCCATCCTGAACACCTTCACCTCGCTTTTTGGGCCCCAAAAGAACTCAAAACCGGACCACCTCCAGCAGCTCAACAGCTAAACACGGCCCCAGCCACACGGCGTCCACCAGCAGTTCCGCCACCACCTCCACGTCCACCTCGCCCTCGCGTATCTCCTCCGCCGCCCGCGCCACCAACCGCCGCCGCAGCGCGGCGACGCCCCGGCCAACGGCTGCGAAGTCGCCACCTGGGTGGAGATGGGCGAGCAGGTGGCTGAGCAGGTGGAGAAGGTGGAGACGCCGTCTCGGAGTCTTTGACCACTTGGAGTGGGCGGGGTCGCCTCCAATAGAAACCCATGTGGATGCGGTGTGAGGGTGTGAAAGGTTCCTTTCAAAAAGAGGGATGCTCATGTTCAAACTATAGTCAAAACCAAACACCGCACACCAGGTCATTCTTCTCCAGGAGTTAACTCAGGTGGCAGGGTTTCAACATGTTTTGACCCAAGCCAATCATGTGTGGGTCCAAAGCTTTGAGAACCCCGAAAACTGCCCTTGGCATTGGGCATCCCTCAAAAGAAAACACAGCATGTACCGAATGCTGGATGGAAAGTGGCCGGGAAATTCATCCAATGCACCGAAGAAACCCGCTGTCGACCGCCGACCTGCGGCCGAATGAGTCAAGAACTGACTTTAAGACGGTTCGCATCGACGGGAGACCTTCGTTTTTACATCGACCGGAGACCGGCCTTTCGCCAAGACCTCGCTTTGGAGACACACGCGTGTCTCACACGGGTGAAAGTCACGGGGTTAAGGCTTCTTTAGCAAGATTGGTGCCACAGCCCCTTTGAAATAGGCCTGATGTGGCCAAGTGACTGGAGGAAAACTCCTTCATTCCCGCTTGCACGGCGGCAGTAATCTTTGCTGATGCCGCCTTGGCCTTTGGATCCAGGGTTTCAGAGCCTCTGGCAACGAATGCCAGGTGATGCCCCAAGGAGCTCCCACCCGCATCCTGCACTCTTGCCGCGTCAGACGGTGCATGAAGGTATGCCGTTCGGCTGCCCAGGGGTTTGGATGGCTTGTTCACCGATGTGGACCCACCTCAATGGGTATCAATGCCAAGAATTCTTCGAACCTTGGAAAGTCCCATGCTGATTGGGACCCGCAGGATGTGTCGTTGGATGCCCATCGCCCTCCCACCCCTTTGCTCATGTCAGTCAGTGGCTCCTTCTTCTTGCGCAAGATTCTGCGAATCTTCACGACGGTGGAGGCCGTCAGAAGTCCCACGGTGAGGCCACAAGAGAAGGAGCGAAGGCCAAGGCCGATCACATGGCACGCCAAGTCCTGCCGATCACATGGCACGGAAAACGGGACAACGAGGGTGCTTTTTAAACGAACGAACAGAACAACACTAAACACAACGTTGAGAGAAAAGCACCCAAGAAAATCTTCAACTCTTTCGGAGGATGATGCAGTTTCAGAATCATAGTGTGTATATATACATACATACATGTCGCATATAATATAAATATAATGTATATATATACTAATATATATATATACTAAGATCATTCTTAAAAAAATTTTGGAAACCTGGCTATCATTCTAAGTTTCAGTCCGTCGCTATATATATATACTAATATATATATATGTATATACACAGTATGTATATGTATTCACATCTTGCAGCCCTTTCAACTTTCTTCCTCGCCTTGGAGCGGACTTCACCCAAAGAAGCTCCACCCCGGAGGCGTCGTGAGACGCCGGCTTCGCCGCACCCCGACGGGCCCGTCCAGCCGCGAGAGAAGCCACCAGTCACCGTCGGAAGCATGGCATGCGCCGGATGGATCGGATCTTGGCCGATGATCGGATGCTAGATAGTTTTTCTTTTTGTTTTCTACAGTAATTCTTCCCATGCAGGCCCATGAGATGGCATCCACAAGTCAGGGTCCCATGTTGGGGGCCTACAACATGTTGGAGTTGCGTTGGAGAAAAAAGAATGGGTGAACATCTTGCTACATTGTGTGTTTTTCAAAGGCTCAACCACACACCCACCCGGTTGGGCGCCTCAGAGGCACCAGTTGTTGGGGAGCGGAGGGGCCTTGTTGAGCTTTAAAAATGCGGATCCGAAGCTCGGTGATGAAGGTGCCTTTCTTTGTCAAAGCTGGGTGTCAGTGGCCACGTATGGCCGAACAGGTTGAGGTTGTTGTCGTTGTTGTCGTTGTCGTTGTCGTTGTTGTTGTCGTTGTTGTTGTTGACTGGGGAACAGAAAAAAGACCTCCCAAAACAGAGCTGAACACAAAGACGCTTATGGCTTATGGCTCGATGAGAGCTTGATGAGATGCATATAGCCCGAAAATATGCCCCTAATGGCCTCCCTAAAGAACCCAAGGCGGTATTGATATGGAATCACATAGGGCCACCAAATCTCGAGGATTTGTCCCCTTTTCTTCTTTTGTGGTTCCTTTCAATGAGGAAACTGAAAGTACTGCCGTCCGTGTCCTGAGCCGGCTGTGCCACCAAAAAAGGTCTGGCTGTGAACCAGAAAGCTGGCGGTCGACGGCATGCGAGGACATCGCTTCCGCGAGGACATATATACATGACAAGACAGCAACATGACAAGTCGTAATAAGTCATTCAAGCTTGAAATGAAGGAAGTGATGAGCCTCCAGCACTCAACTAGTGGTGGATTGGCAAGCGATTCAGCTATTGAAATCCAGGGTCCTTGTAGTCAGCTGTGCTAGTCTCTGTGGACCTTTCATACGTCAACAGCTTGTCTTTACACCTGCCAGACATTCAGCGACAAGTCATATGCGGAATGGCCGTGCTCCCTACACAATGCCCTCAGTCTGGCTGAATCATGCAATGTCTAGCTGAAAAGCTCTTCCTGCTGTGCTTTGATTGATGGTCCCACCTGGCACGAGTCTCTTCTATCTGCTCTTCCAGGCCCGAGCGCATCTGATGGTCTTCCTCAATGTTCTTGTTGCCTCGGCACGAAAGACAAACATCCCCCTTTCCGCTCCAACCAACATCCGACTTCGGCCAGCACCAGACTTCTGGACTTCTTCGGGTGGGATGGTGAGACTTCGGCCATGTCTGGGTCTAAATTCAAAACACACAGTTCTCATGCCATGCAACCACCCCAAATCTGTGGCAAGCAACGAATGAGCTCGAACTGAGACTGGTGATCTGTAATGTCAGCCTGAGAGCGACCGATCTTTGTGCAGGTGTTCCCATTTCTCGTTTGTGTCTTTCTCTCCTGTCCAAGATGTGCCAGTATGCTTTCAAGAAAGTGCCAGCGAATTGAATGGAGACGTTCAAAAGTGTAGCTCCAGTTGTTGAGTTCCACGCCATTTCTCGGTTCTTCTCCTCGCGCCTCAAAAAATGGTGAAAAATACCAGGACGATGCTCTTTCGTCCACGCCCTTGGCCCTACGCCTTGCCAAAGGGGAGACTTCTTGCTTTCTTGATCTAGGAAGTTGTTCAGCTCCCAGATTTTGGCAACTCTGCTTGTCAGTCGCGAGGAAGATAAGCAGAACTTGTGGGTGCGAAGCTTCCCGGAAGACACGGAAGCTCTCAAAACATGTGTATGTATTTATATATATATATATACATGCATATACATACGTCCTTCCAGGATGCAAACACTACAGTGGTGTACAGTGTACATTAATATCATGGATTTCACTTCAAACCATCAAATCGGAACAAAAAACTGTAACAACCCACCAACAAGGAAGACCCATGGTTGGAACCAAAAAGAACACACAGGATCCACCCAACTGCGAACCGTACACGATGCATGTTTGCTTTTCGACGGGTCAGTGAAATCCTCGTTACGAAGCACGAAGGATGATGCCAAGCAGCTCAACTTGTTCAACAATCAAGGCAAGCTCGCGTTTCTCGAGAGCATGCCTTTCCTGGCGCTGCCGAACCAAAAAAAGCATCGCTGTTGGTTGGAAACAGCATCACTGTTTCGAAAGAAAGCAGAACAAGCAAACCAAACAAAATCTGAGGGTTAGACCCCCAAATCATCCATTTCACATGTGGTTTCATCGTTTTCACCCTCCCGTTTTGGGAGTGCCCCCCCCAATTAAAACAAAACTGCAAAAGAGCGAAACAAGCTGCTTGAACTTGCACCAAAAACAACGAACTTGAGGCCATCTCTGAGCGAAGGATCCCAACGTGTCTGACGTCTTCAGACGCACAACACGTCTTCAGACGTGCACGCGGAAACACACCGGCTCCCGGTGCTCCCGGGGCTCCCGGGGCTCCGGAATGTGCAAAGAGGAAGTTCATTGAAACTTGGGCACAAATCATCAACACACCAGCAATTCTGGCAGAACTCCTGGATGTGTTCTCGTTCAATTCTGAACTCCTGGCAGAGTTCGTTCGCATGGCAGGGGTTTAGGTGAACATCCAAAGGCAAGTGTCAGAATGCCATATTCGCCGGTTTGATTGGGATGGCTTCTTCTTAGAACCCATCCAAGACTCCAAGTCCTCTTGAAGGGTTGCGACGTCTCGCTTGAACTTCTCGTCCAAAGCTAGAAGCCTGCAGAACATTGGAGCCAAGACCACGCTCTGTTTCAGGAACCAAAGACATGACGAGATATGCGACGCGCGGGTGCAGCAAGCTACCCTACCGCCCCGAAGCGTAAACGCTGCATATGTGTCGGTGTCCGATCCGACTGATCCAGTTGACGGACCCTGCACAGCCCTTCCCGTCACACCTGCTCTGCTGAATCTCATGTAATCGGTCCACATTGAGCAAGTGGCTTCTCACCGCAACTTGATGCTGCTCCTGGAGCCGATGATAGAGCAACCCTTAGATTCAACAAGTGACAAAAGTGCAGTTACGGCAGGAACCAATGCATCTCATGCATTGGTTACTTGAGAGCCCTGCCATGTTCTCAGACAGTTCAATCAAATCTATATTTAGCACAGGAAGTTGAAGCTTGGTACCTCAGAGAACTACTAAAACCATCAGCAAGCAAAATGGAAGACTCAAAATGGAAGACTCATACAAAATGTTTCAGAAGAGGAAATTGAGTCAGCGGTACTCATATTATGCACCCCCACAAACCCAGCAGCAGCTCGGCCTCAGCCTCATCCAGATCTCGATCCAACATTTGCAGGATCGCATCCTTTCCTTCGGAGTCCAAACAACTCGACAGCAGTTTCCATCATCTCGAAGCAATCTACAATCCTGATCGTGGGACATGATTAAAGAGTCTGTGCAGTATATACATGTATCCATCTATCTATCCATCCGTATCTACACATCTACATACAATTTACACATATAGTCATTTAATAGTCGGCAAGAATTGTTGTTGTGGGTGGCCCCAGACCCTGCCTCGGAAAGCGGCGTAAACAGCATAAACAGCACGACAGCAGCAGGACAACAGAAAGACCAGAGGGAGACATGAGGAAGACAACAGAGGGCAGGGAAGGAAAACAACACGAACACACCAAGAGGACAAAAGAAGGACAAGCTGTGACCGGACAACGCCAAAAAGAACAACAGGACAACATGAGGGGAGCACACCACGAGAACAAGACCAGAAGAAGAAGAAGAAAGGACAAGAGAAAGACAAGACGACGATGAAGAGGGACAATAGGAAACGCATTGAAGAACGTGAGGAGGCCAGGACGGCAAAGGTTGTGATAAGACGAGAGGAGGAGGACATCCGGACAGGGCTCGCCGGCGCGGCCTGGCCGGCTTCTTTATCTTCTTTTCCTACGAGAGAATCCCGCAAGAAGAGGCCAACAGGAGGACAAGGAGAGGACATCGGCTTTTGGGGTTGCTTTCTGGAGTTGTCTTGCTAGTCTCACTGCTTTGTTGTGCATGCTCGCATGTTGTCATGCTGACATGCTGACACTCTGCCACGTGGGCATGCTGCGGTACTGCGGTCTTCGCGCTTGCTGGCTAACGGATTCCCACTAAGTGCCACACAAGGCTGGTGCATTTGCAATTGTTTTCTCGCGTTGGACCCTTTGATTGCGCTTGGGGACGGTGCTTCCCGCGCGCACACTGTCATGGCGTCATGTATACTCACTGCCACGCTGTCATCTGGACACCAGCAGAAGGACAACAAGGGGACAACAGGAGGACAAAGAGGACAACGGGAGGACACGAAGAGGACAACACGAGGAGAAGAAGAGGACGAGAGGAGAAGAAAGCAAAGGACAACAGGAGGACAAGGTCTGGAGACTGGCAGCCGCGGCCAAGGTGGTGTCAACAAGAGGACGACGGAGGTCAAAACCCAAACCAGCAGGTGGTCCCTTCTTCCTCCCCCGGGCACGTCGGGACGCGACGTCGCCGTTTCGGACGTCTCCCTCCGAGGGTGGAACCTTCGCAGGTCGTTCCACGAGGGCTCCGAGAAGCAACGAAGCAAACACCCCCGACAGTTCTGCTGTGATGGCAGTTCTGTGATGTTTTTTTGGGTGGACCATCGAACATGCAGCGGAGAACAGTCTCTTGCGCCAAATTCACCTAGCACCGACAAGAATGACAAGACAAGACTTACACTTTGAGGCAAAGATTTTCAGGCATCTAATCAAATCTCAAGGGAAAAAGCAAAACGCATGTCGATGTGGCCCATCACATACATTCATTCCTGTCGTATCCTTTTGGCTTCAACGAACACCTGGCCTTCACCGCGCGGTTTTCGTTGCACACCACTCCGCGCCGCGACTGAGTCTCCCAGCGGTCGACATCTCGCTCGTGGTTCTGGGAGATGATCTCTACCTGAAACCGATTCTGGGAGATGACCCCCAACTACGCACGTTTCTCGGCACTGAAACCTCGGCGCGTTTCTGAAACCCCACCTTTTCAAGCACACACAGTGACAAGAAGGCGCCGATGGATGTGGCATCTGGTTTCTTTTCGCCGCCAGTGTCGGGGACACCACCCAACAATCGGTTTGAGAAACGCCTGAAAATGGCTTTCGGAAACCCCTGAACAGCCTGGTTTTGGTGCACCTCCGGCCTGCTTTTTCAGCTGCTTCGTTTTGGCCGAGCGCATAATCTTGAGCCAACTTTCTTGGATCCTCAGCACTGGCGCAAGGGGAGGTGATCAACCGAAAAGTAAAAATACAAGGATGGTGACCAAGCTGACCAAGCTAAATACAGGCGCGGCGTTAAGCTCAAAGCAGGAGTGCTGCAAAAGAGTTGTTTCAACATGTTTTGACTGATTCACATGGTTCATGCACAACATTCCAGCCATGTCACCGGCTCATGTTGTACTTGGTATTTCTCACCTGGCCGCAAGGACTATGAACACAGTGTAACGGTGGCTGCGCTTCGAATGGCTGTTGTAGTTCTTCCTAATCTTTCTACATGTCCTGCATGATTCCTTGATTGCATTTCAGAGTCCAATCAGCTGAGCTTGCGCTGTCCAGACCACTGCGCAAGCTCACGCGTCCCGGTACCGAACCGCTGCTCCAACCGCCGAACCGCTGCGGTCGACCGTTATTTAAAAAAAAAAAAAAAACTTGCATATGGTAAGGCCAGAATCCTTGATTTAAAAAAAGGCGAAGAAAAGAAGGTAAAAAAGTCAACTGGAAAAGTCAAAATCAAAAAAAAACAGGTTGAAAAGTCAGAAAAAGATACAAAAAAATCAAAAAATGACCAAAAAAAAAGTCAACCATAGACCACAGCTCGAAGAAGTCAAAAAATGAAGTCAAAAAAAAGTTGAAAAAAGTCTCTAAAAAAGAAAAAAGTCAACAAAATAAACAAAATAAAAAAAAGTTTTTAAAAAGTCAAATTCAAAAACAACTCGAAAAAGTCGAATAAAAAAGTCAAAAAAGAAAGTCAAAAAAAAGTCAACCACTCGAAAAAAAAACAAGAATAAAAAGTCGAAAAAGAATCGAAACAATAAATACAGTCGAAAAAAGAAGAAAAAAAAACGTCGAAACACATGTCAAAAAAAGGTATAAAGAAAGTCGATTTAAAATAGAAAAAAACCGTCGAAACACATGTCAAAAAAGTCGATTATTTGTTTAAGTCAGAGCTGTGCAAATTGACCTTTTTTTTGACTGTCTGAAATTTTCTGATGTTACTTCTTTTTGACTTTGACTTTTGGGATTGACTTCTTTTGACTGTTTTAATTTTTTTAGAAAACAGGCTCTTTCCAATGAAAGTGTTTTATAAGTCGACCGGTCCCGCAGCGGCGGCAAGCGGCGGCAAGCGGATGGGGCGGATTTGGGCACCTCCAACTGTGTATCCTTCTGGAGCTTATGTCTCTGCTGCATGAGCATGAATTGCTCCTGACCGCACATGAAACAGTGATATGGTTCGTCGTACCAACGGAGCATGGGAGACTGCAAATGATCAAAAGCTGTGAAGCTCCGGTGAGCATGACGAGTGCGAAACAGGTCACGAGTGCGAAAGAGAATGGAGCACACCTCACTTGAACAAAAGAGCTACCATAGACACCATCATAAAAAAGGAACCGGAAATATATGAAACTACGTGTCTTTGTCTATCAAATTGAAGACTTTTTTACGGCTCCCAACTTCTCACTGGCTCATAAAATGGTGAGCCATACAGCCCTCTTGTCATGCAGGTCCTTGTCATACTCCTCCATTTCTTTTGCTCGAGTACCGGTTCCTTGCAAAGCAGATCAGCATCCATTTTGAGAATCTGCCTTACATAAAACCCTATCAGCTATCACTATGCCTGATTGTCAGTTAACCTACCAGCGTCCAATGCCCATGAGTCTCGATATGTCTCAATCTCATTCGGTTCTTATCCGCCCAGCAGCGCACTCAACGCTCTTTCAGGGATCACTGTTTTTCGGCCCATCCGAGTCCACTGGGGGGTTGCACATTAGACAAATTGAAAATCCTTAGCGTTTGAACGCCCAGGACTTTGGTGACTCACGAGGCAGTGGGGTCAACCTCTGAAAAACTCTGAGCAAACTCAAACAGCCTGCTTCGTGACGGCCACACTCTGTTTCACAAGACGTTCACAATGAAATGACAAATCCCAGGTCTGGATGCCAAGCAGCATGGGCCTCCGGATTCCATCTCGGCACAGTTTCACTGTCAAGATAGCCCTGGATAATGCTCCAGGCATAGGCTTGCAATTTGGCTTCTGCCTGCAGCTGAGCCTGCATGTCTGGACCTCCAGCAATGAAAATCTCTTCAATCCTTTCTTTGATCTTATCTCGGGTCTGTTTCCTTGGACGAGGTGCTGACCGCACGGGATGCTCCAAATGGCAGTAGGCACAAAGACTGCCCGTTGCGCAACCTCTCTTGGAGGTAAAGAAAACGCACGGCTCACACTCCCCATCCATGTGCTCCTGGCTGACTTCGGCGGCTGGACCCGCTGGCTCCGGAGTCGGCTCCCGAGCCGACTCCGCAGCCGGTCCCGCCTCCGACGGTGGCATGGCCACATCACTTCGGGCCTGCTCAACCTCGACGCAAGGGACATCTGCATCGAGGTCATCCGCAGGAAGGCCAAGCCACACAGAAGCAGAAGAAACATTGCCCAGGTCACTCTGAAAAGGCTCAAAATTGCTCATGGCCGCGCCAGGTATGCATCTGTGAAGCAAAAGCTCGGAAAAGCCCGGCAACCTGCTGAAATCGCCAACGGGGGGAAATGAAATGCTTGAGCCAGAAGTTCCGGCCAGAAGTTGGCATCATTGGCAACCTCATGAAATGACCAAGTGCTGCTCATTCACCTCCAGTTTCAACAAAAGCAAGCAACCGCCTGCTTTCGGAGGCATGGCAGGCAAACCTCATTGCTCATTGGCACACATCGGACTCCAAAACACTCGGACGTCTCAGCTCTCAACGCCTGAGAGCCTCACCGATCCGCCCCGGGGGGCCACCCGAGAGACGTCGAGAGACGGACGCGTTTGAGCGGGGCGAACTCGCGAAAGGCGAACGCGTCGTCGCGTCGTCAAGGCGTGGGGAATCGTTCTGCCGAACTCGTGACCCGCAAAGAATGAAGCGTCATCATGGCAGGGTGAAACAAGGAAATGGAGAACTGCAGCTTTGGTTTCTGAGGTCAAAAACCAGTGGGAAAAAAAGAAAACCTCGTTCAGCTGTTCATTGTTCAAGTCTTCGATACCAAGGGCTTGCATGTTTTGCAATGCCTTGGTGGGCGCGCCCGGCTCTTTTTTCCAGCTCTCTTCATGGACCCGATCTGCTCAAAGTCCCAGCCAGTCCTGACCAAGCGACAGGACTGGATCGTCGGCCGACTGATTGAAAAAAGGCTCTCGGCAATTTGGCATCGAAGCTCTTCTCATGCCATTGATAAAAACAGATCCGAAACATGTGATTTTCGCAGACCGCAGCAGACTGAGTCGTAGACAGCAGACGAACGAAGGCGATGAGTCACGGCACCATGAAAGGTTGAACACATCCCTTTCATGTTCGAGGAATCCGTTCATGTTCGGTGGGAAAAACCAGGGTCTCCCTGTTTTGACCCACAGAGCACATCAAACCAGCTCAGCTTGGTGGAGTGACTGAGTGGGCGAAGTGGACAAGGGTGCGGAGCCTTCTGGACCGTGGACCGTGGCCCCGGACAGAAGGGTGTTTCGCAACAGAACGCTTTGTGTCCCAGAACTGTTTGTCAATCGTCTCAAAAATCGGTCGGTGGAACATTTTTTGGTCTTGACATACCAAAAAAAGAAATTGGGTCCCTCCCACAGAAGACCAAGCCAATTAGACCAAGCAAAACTCTTAGATCCCTTAGACTCTACATGTCTGGCTGTGGGAGAACCAAGCGAATATACCAAGCCAATAGGCCAATCTCTAAGACATGTCCAAACCCTTAGACCAAGCAAGTTTGGACATGACACATCCTGAAACCGTTTCGTACCTCGTCATCCCAACTCCAGCGCCACGCTGTTGCTGTTGGAGTCGAGGGACGCTGCCGAAGAGCTCCGGACTCGCAAAGGAGAAGGCGTTGGAGTCGATTGGCCAGGACTCGGCGTGGGTCCTGGTCAATTCCACGTCAAGATGTGCATTTGGAGAGGGAGATCCCCTGGGCCGCCTGGCTGGGTAGACGGGTCTAGTGTCCTTCTTTCTTGGGTTTGAATTGGGAGGTCTCCCTATTATTTAATGTATATATATATATACTGTAATACACAAATCCACAGGTTCAGTGTTGTGTCACTGACCCTGTCACATGGTCATCTCGATGGTCGGCTATGCCAGGAAGCATGGCACCTGGCCATATCGAACGAGAGATGGAATCCTCAGGGTCCGGTCTTGCAGGGACTGGTCTGCAGGGCTCCTTTATCGTACCCAGCGCATGCTCTGCGAACGGCGTGGGGACTGCTGGGTATGGCACCCACTTCTGTGGAGTCATTAGGCTTCAGCTGGTCTCGCAAGGTAGCATGTGTGTTAGATCTGTACAAGAAGGGAAATAGACCAGGTCTCCCTATGTTCAACTACATGCACACCCAAATCCCTGCCTACCATTGGCGCAGAACTCGACGTTCCCAGCCGGTCGGTCGACATCCAAAAAGACCCCAGCGAGCTAAGCGCTCGCTGGAGCGTTCGACTTCGGCTCGGCCTGATTCAGCTCAGGTCTCGCTTCGTGGCCCGGCATCGATCCATCAGATCCAATCTCTGCTTGCATTTAGAACAGCTCGGCTCTAGGCGGCGGGCTACGCCTCTACTCTGCTGCTGTTGAAGAACGTTAAATCAGGCCAAACCCTAACTCTGTTGAGCGCTTCTTTCCGCTTTGAAGTCCAGCTCCTCATCTGCAGCACCAGCAGCGATGGCATTGACACATGCCCTTGAATCAGGCCGTCCCCAAACGCCACAAAGAAGTCTGCAGCCGAGGCGATCGCCATTTCCACCTCGTGTTGTGCCACGAAAACCAAGTACATGTTGACAGATGAACATATCATGTGCCCAACAAGCAAGACAAATGGTGTTGCCTCCATAACCCTCTGGTGAAAGGATGCCGTGAAAGCGGCCAAACGGCCTGCAGTACTATGCAGTACTATGCAGTCCTCCAGGTCTCTTCTTCCAAATCCAAATGATCTTGGTTCTGCTGCTGGTTCGGCTGCCCAGGCACACACAGCTGTCGCAGATTGTTCTCTTGACCCGGAAGAAATGGGGCCTGTAGAAGCCTTGGCGGCGAACGAGAACAGCAGGCTGTTCAGAGTGTTCACAACATGTGGTCTCCACATGGCAGGATTCGCAAAAAACTCGAGCGTGGCTGCTAGGTACAGACTAGAGTTACCTTGAAACCTGTCTCATTCTCATCATGAAGCGTCCATTCTGTCTAGCCAGCCCTGGGTGCCCACTCTCAGCTGTCCCATTCAGCTCATCCCTCAGCTTCGCCACGGCCTCCGCTGAACTCTTTTCGGAAAGCGGTCTGATCCTCAAAGTGGATCACAAAACGATCAGCAACAAATCTTCTCTGTCGTACTGGGGGAACCCAAGGCCGTGAGGCTTTTGCATAGAAACTTGCATCCATCAGGGGACCTGGAAAACAGAAACTCACTCTGCCCTACTGGATGACGCGCGCGCGCGCCAAAAAAGCTGTCTCGCTCCCACACCGCCTCACTTCCTGGCGCTGCATTGCTCATCAGAAATAACCTGGCCAAAAAGGAGGGGCCTCCGAGACCCGACTCGAGAGCTCAGAACGAACCCGACTCGAACCTCGAACGAGCCCACAGGTTCGTGAAAGAGTCTCCACGAGTCTCCACGAGTCTCCCAGCGGGAGTCACCCCGTGGTCTCCGTGTAATGTTCGTGTCTCCCGGTTGTCTCGTTTTCAGAGGACTTCGATGCAAAGGGTTGTTGGCCAAAAGAAAAAGAACACTTTGGCCAGAACTCGGTTCCACGTTCCACACGAGCACGCGACACCAGAATATGCTGCTGCAGAAGCCGTCGGTGGCTGTCACCACCCACCCGGTCCCACGTTCATCTCCGATTGGTCCGGCCTCTGGAGCTTCGTCTCTTGCAGGAAGGACTTGAGCCGCAGCGCAAAGGCTCCGGGCTCGGCCAACTGGGCCTGAGGATGCCGAGGCGAGAAGGATGGGAGCAAGGGGGAGGATGCGAAGAGAAAAAATCACCTAACAAACACCAGTTCTGTCTCAGGATGGGGAGGGAATCACCTGCAATGGGTGAAACACCAAACACGAGAAAGAAGACATTCACCCAGGCACAATGAACACAGCGAGCTCGCTGGGCAAGACCTCGAACCCGGTGTACCAGGGAAAACCCGGTCGAATGGCGGGAATCCCCCAGCGGACTCGTCCGTGCGTCGTAGACGGTTGTCCGCGCGAAGAAGAGTGCAGACAGTTCTGGGGGCGGTCTGAACTGGACTTGTGGGGAACGGATCCGTATACGGGAGGTTCTCAGTCTCTGGTTCTCGGAAGCTGAGGAGCTGAACAAAGAATCAGAATTGGAGTCATCACTTGGGAAGGTGTGATTGTGTGAAGGAGTTTGAAGGCGTCTTGCGGTGGAAAGTGATCGCCCCAAGTCAAACCATCAAAAAGCGTCCTTGCAGGCCAATCAAGGGGAAAACCAGACGTCAAAATCTCCCAAACCCGTATATACTTGCTGCATATTGAAGCTGCCTGGTTGCGACTGATCTTGACCAAAGACTGTTGCCAGCTTTCATCCAGCCCAAGTCTTGATAGTTCCTTCAATCCAACTCTCACCCGCCACCCGCGATAGTTAGAAATCCAACTCCTCCATCTCCACCACCTCTCTCCAGCTGCACGAGTTGTCTGCTGTTTACGACCAGACCGGACCCGACCAGACTCACCGGCCTGCTCCAGCTTGCGAGGGTGTGGCCCCAGGAACCAGTCGCCCTGGCGACTAACGGGGGGAGTCCCACCAATGGTCCAAAGGTCACGGACCAGGAACAGGTCGAAATACTGAGTTTTGGGTACGACAGACGAAGGACGACGCTTGTTTTCCCAAGCTTTGGCAAAAAGCCGGCGTGCAATTGGTGCATTCAAGGTTTCACACTGGCCGAATCTCTCCAAATCGTGGCTGCAGGTGCCTATTGATGTTAGAGTGGCTCGGAAAGGAAGCCCTAGCAAAGAAAAGCCTGGCTCAGAAACTGCCAGCCCCTCAAGAGGAGCGCGAACAACAACTGCTGCCGACAGAAATTGGAAAAGCAGCCCAATAGAAGTCGGAGATCAGCCCCCATTCTAACCCTGCTCTGCTTTCATCGCTGCCACGGCTTCCAAGCTGCTTTTTCTGGTACAGCTCCCCACCTTGCGCCAGTGCACGGCCAAAAAGGCTCCGGCGCGGCTCTGCGTCCTGGAGAGCGGAAAGCACGCTTCACTTCCCGCCCGCTCTCCCGTGTTCGGTGGGCGGTTGGGCTCCCCCCCAACCTCAGCCGTGCAGCTGGGGTCCAATTCGGCGGTTTCTTCGGGCACCGGAACGGACCAAAAGCTCCGGGCGTCGACCTCGAGACCGAAGACTGGTCCGTCCGATGCGGCGACCCAACCAAAGCCCCCGGTTTTCTCTGAGTCACAGCGGGTCCAGTCTCACTGGATTCCATGGATCGACGCAAAAACACACAGGGTAGGTTGGGTAAGCCCCAAGTCCAAAGCATACCAGTATATAAACAAGATGGAGCCCAAGAACCCGAATGCAAACACGTTCAAAATGCTATATATGTCCAAATGACACTCCTGTAGGACACTCTTGTGGGACACTCTTGTGGGTCACTCTTGTAGGAAACTCTTGTGGGACACTCTTACGGGACACTCTTGTGGGACACTCTTGTGGGACACTCTTGTGGGACACTGTTGCGGGACACTCTTGTGGGACACTCCTGTGGGACACTCATTTGGGACACTCTTGCGGGACACTCTTGTGGGACACTCTTGTAGGACACTCTTGTGGGACACTCCTATAGGACACTCTTGTAGGAAACCCTTTTGGGAGACTCTTGTAGGACACTGTTGCGACACTCTTGTGGGACACTCTTAAGGGACACTCTTGTGAGACACTCTTGCGGGACACTGTTGCGGGACACTCTTGTGGGACACTCTTGTGGGACACTCTTGTGGGACACTCTTGTGGGACACTCTTGTGGGACACTCTTGTAGGAAACTCTTGTGGGGCACTCTTGTAGGACACTCTTGTGGGACACTCTTGTAGGGCACTCTTGTGGGACACTCTTGTGGGACACTCTTGTAGGAAACTCTTGTGGGACACTGTTGTGGGACACTCTTGTGGGACACTCTTAAGGGACACTCTTGTGAGACACTGCTGTGGGACACTCTTGTGGGACACTCCTGTGGGACACTCATTTGGGACACTCTTGCAGGACACTCTTGTGGGACACTCTTAAGGGACACTCTTGTGAGACACTCTTGCAGGACACTGTTGCTGGACACTCTTGTGGGACACTCCTGTGGGACACTCATTTGGGACACTCTTGCGGGACACTCTTGTGGGACACTCTTGTAGGACACTCTTGTGGGACACTCTTGTGGGACACTCTTATAGGACACTCTTGTAGGAAACCCTTGTGGGAGACCCTTGTAGGACACTCTTGTGGGACACTCTTGTAGGGCACTCTTGTAGGGCACTCTTGTGGGACACTCTTGTGGGACACTCTTATATGGACACTCTTGACTCTTGTGGGACATGGTTGCGGGACACTCTTGTGGGACACTCTTGTGAGACACTCTTACGGGACACTCTTGTAGGACACTCTTGTGGGACACTCTTGTAGGACACTCTTGTGGGACACTCTTACGGGACACTCTTGTTGCACACTCTTGTAGGACACTCTGGTGGGTCACTCTTTTGGGACACTCTTGTCGGACACTCTTGTGGGACACACTTGTGGGACACTCTTGTAGGACACTCTTGTGGGACACTCATACGGAACACTCTTGTGGGACACTCTTGTAGGACACTGTTGTGGGACATGCGGGACACTCTTGTGGGACACTCTTGTGGGACACTCATACGGGACACTCTTGTGGGACACTCTTGTGCTTCCTCCAAAAGTCACATGTCAAGTCTCCAAAACGAGCGTTTCGTACGAGACTTCCTCCAAAAGTCACGCTGCGAGGCTGCAAGACGAGCGTTTCGTACGAGACTTCCTCCAAAAGTCACGCGTCAAGTCTCAAAAACGAGCGTTTCGCACGAGACTTCCTCCAAAAGTCCAGCGGAAACACCCATCGGAGCACACACATCACGCAGCCCTGCCAAGCAATTTCGCGATTCCAGCCCCTCCAAACGACACCCACCCACACGCCAATCCCAATGTGACAGCGACATTCACCTCTACCACAACTCACAACCTCCCGATTCCCTGCGCCTGCCACGAATCTTTCCGCGTCCACACGTCTAACGCGCACAAAGTACTGCGCCTGCCACGAAATGTCACCTCCGTCACACATCGCAACCTCACGATTCCCTGCGCCTGCCACGAAAATCCCACTTCCACACCTCAAAACCTGCACAAAGTCCTGCGCCTGCCACGAAAAGTAACAATGTCATCTCATGTGGCCTTCAACAAAATTTGCACCACACCACACGTTTGGAATGATTTCGACCCGTTCTGAGCACACTCCCAGGGTCCAAAATCGGCATTTCAGCTGAGACTTGTCACGAAAACAGAGCTTCGATGCCACACCCTGAAACGCAGATCCCAATGGCACGGCCACATCCAACACCCCAAAAGCACAACTCTCCAAACGCTAATCCCAATGGAACTGCGTAGCAAACTGCGGATCTCACAAAACGCTGCGCCTGTGCAGTGAAATGCATCACGCTTCTTGCGCGACATGTCATTTTCATGCAAATCACAATGGAATAGCGGCGCAAACTGACACGTGACACATCCATGAAAAGTCACTTGCAAAAGCTTCCCCCAATGGCAGCGCCTTAGCGACCTACTGCGAACGGTTGCGAACGGTTGCGGACGGTTGCGAACATAGAAGCAACGGGTCGCGAACAAGACTCTACCCCCAGACCCCCAGAGTTAAACGAGAACCCTTCGCTACGCATTCGGGAAAAGAGATACATAGAGATGCACTCTGAGTTGGAACCACAGGTTTAGTGATTCCAAGACTTGACAGACAAACGGTTGGAAACCAATGGCAACCCACGTTTTCACAGCCTCCAAACTGCGGCCAAGGACAACTCGTTCACCACAACCACCGTCACATATACCACCAAAGAAAGGCCCACCAAACGAACTGCCGAGCACTTTCTGATGATCGGAGTTTAAAGAGAACTGCCAAAGTCCACTTGATCTGCTCTTTGGGTTTGAACTCTTTGCCGTGGTTGCTGGGAAGTTTGAAGAAGCAGTACAAACATGTACAAACCCATTTCATCCCATTTCAAAAAATAACCTCTTGTTGATGAAACACCGCACCCCGGGACCCCGCCTTGTCCGAAGCAACAAGCCCATCTGCTGGGCGACCACCGCTGCACGCCTGAGCCGACCAAAACCACTAAGAAAAGTCACGGAGATGTCGGAGAGATGTCGGTGTGGAGATTCGTCGTCCGGGGGGTACCTTGGTTGACAGAAAATGAACAGAATGGACGAATGGACTACTGACTACGGTCAACCGACCCTGGTTTGGGAATCCGGGCTTGACCCATGACCCATCCCCATAATGTGTGCGTGTGTGTGTCATAGAAAGGAAGGGAGACCACTGGAGACCATCAGTGTTGCAGCCAACTCGCTTCTATCGCATCCCAGGCACCAGGTGCCCCAGGTGCCCAAGCACCGTAGGAGGCGATGTAAAACCCAAGGCACCGGAGGTTTGAAACCACCGCTACGGCTGAACAGCGCCCACCCTGTCTTGGCCACAGACCGTAGGATCGCTGGAGCAAAGCGCAGCCCGGTCCAGATCCTTGACATGCGACCGGTCGCAATCGATGTGCTCTCAGATGATGTGGTTGTGTTCTTCTTTTTTCGGCATACAGGCTAGGCTTTGAAGACACACCCGCAGAAAACAAGAGTTTTCAAAACCAGAAAAATCCAGATTTACCGATAGAACTTGTGGAACGTGTCATGACAGTTGGAAGCCACTGCAACTAAGTGGCCACTCAAAGCAACCAGATGCAACCAAATGCAACAAGTAAGCTCAAGCATGCCCCCTGTCAGTCCCTGCCCACACACTTTTTCTGAGCATACAAGAACTCAAGAACTCTCGCCTCGCAAGTCGCTTGAAACACTCTCCCCCTGCGGGAGGATGCGACTGAGACATATACACTGGTTCTCTGCAGTCATGGAAGACCAGACCAAGGACCAGCTTGCGTGCAGGAAGGTGTAGAGTCCGTCTTTGAGACATGGTCAAAAAGCCGCTAGTGACTTCCCCCATGTCAATCTCTTTATCTTTTCCCCATGCAACACTAGTGCAAGCAGCATGAAAAAGCCTTCTACCCCAATTGAATTCCCAAATTTTGACCATTCCTGAGACCTCTACTTCTGCCATTTCTGAAGCCTGCGGCAACATTGGCCTCAGGTCCCTGATGTACTACAAGGAGAAAACGAAATTACCTGATCCAGAATCTGATGCCTCCACATCACAGCCTTCCCATCCTGCAGCAATTTCTTCGTCCAAATAACCCAGGATGATGCTGCGGGCATAGTCATTTTTGGCCTCTTCTTGCAGTTGCTTTTGCAGATTCGGTGCGTTGGCAATGAACAGCGCCAAGATCTTGTACTGCACCTTTTCGCGAACCTCCTTCCGGGGACGAGGAAGCTTCGCCGGGCCAAACACGTTCACATCCAGGTGCAAATATCTACAGTTCTGAATCTTGCAACCTGGCTTGGAATTAAAATAGAGACAAATGTTGCAGACACTCACTTGACCCCCTTCTCTGACACGCACTGGCGCTTCCGATGACACACTGGTTAAGGGGGACGAGCTGACCGGTGACGAAGGTGACCTGTCAGCGCTACCTGTTGATGCCATGGCCCTCTTCGCCTGGATCTAGCTCTCTCATCATAACTTGCGAGAAAAATGCCATCAATGCAATTCCTTCAGCAAGCCCAGCAAGCATCATGATGTTGCATGCCCAGCAAGCATCAAGACCCGAAAAGGAAAAAAGAAACTCCATCTGCTGTCAATCGCTGGTTCGTGTGCTTTCCACAACCACGGAAAAAAAAATAGAAAGTGCTAGATTCAGAAACAAATCCATCTCAATTTGAACAAATGGCTAGCTTTGACAGCGCCCACTTGTGAAGAAAAGAACCATATAGATTGCATTCACATTCCCGGCGGCCACGTTCTGCTGACAAGCTACGACGTGTAGAAGGTGTGAGATGACAAAAGGCCATAGCGACCAGGGTGAAGTCTTGCCCTTTCAGCACCCTGCAACGAAATCGAATCACATTGCATGCTACTACCAATAGAGACCTCACTTTACAGGTATGAAGCCCAAAAAAGTTGTGGTTCCTTGCTATTCATTGGCAACTCGAAGGTGTCCCTCACATAGGGCAAGATAATCCACAGCCTCTAAATGGACACTGTTGTAGGAGCGGCCTCGACCCAGTAGAGATACAAGCCAACCTGAGCATTTCAAGGCATGCCGCAAAAGTATATTCAACTCGTTCCATCTCCATCCTATCGTGTGTGTGGTCCGAGCGACGCGAAGTAGAAAGCCTCTGTAGAAGTAGAAAGCCTCTGTACACCTACAAGGAATCGGCCGCTCAGCTGAACCAGGGAGCTGCTGTCCAGGTCTTCCGTTCAGACTTGGCTTGGGCAACAGCGCTTTGCACCTGAGAACTGCAGGAGAATCCTCCACTGGAAAACAGTGCGCCGCGTACCGTTCAAGGCAAGAACAATGGTCTATAGTCTATAGTCTATTCTGCTTCCCGTACACACCAGCATTCGGCAAGCCAAACTCAAGCAAAAGTGAGGGAATAGGCTAGCATCAAGTTGCAGTTCCAAACAGTCCAGGATGCCTTAGACTTAGACATACTTAGACGTAAGCCTGACATTTGTAGACACTTGGCTGAGTCGGTGGGTAGATCTACATTACACATCATTACACAGTACCACGTCTACCGTCTACGTGTTCAGAACAAAGTAGTCAAGACAGGCAGGTATATCAATTCTAGACTTCTGACACCCAATGTCCAGCTACAGCTACAGGCCCGAAACACAATTGTTTAATGGTCTTTTTAGGCAGAGGGCGGAGACACTTCCGGAGGAATAGGGCCTCACCAGGCGACCCGACCACTTCCGCGAGGCGACCGTCATCCAAGAAGCGCAGCTCAAAGCCTGAGGCGTACCAATCATGAAAGAGCTGCTTCCCTTCGTAGAAAAATGAGGATCTTACAGGAGGTAAGTAATGCTTGGTATCTCTCAAAACTTGAGTGAGAATATCGGAATATGACAGAATCTGACTACGGAAATGATTGCACTAAGACTGAGAGTCACATTCTCTACGTGACTCTTCATGTACTCAAGGCTTGCTTACGGGCATGCTGCCGTCCATTTTGCAGTCGACCCTAGTGAAGGACAGGAGATGCAAAAATTGCTAGCAATTGCGGACATCAAAAAGGACTCAGATACTGTCCAACAGCATATCATTCAACTTCAACTTTTTGTGCCAGACTCGCCACTACCAACCACCAACCACCAACTATGTCTTTTGGGTGGTGACTTTCCACTTCAGCCGCTGACCCTGCGTGTGCTTGGTGCTTCGCACACACACCTCAAAGCAAATCGTGACATCGAGGTCACATGTTCTTCTTCGTGTCCGCTCGTCGTGTCGTGCCTTCGCGTCCGAACGACCGACCTTCGAAAAAAAGGATCGTCTGGGAGCCCAGCTCGACGCCGTACCCGGAGCTCCGTCTGATAGAAGCCTCAGGCCGTACCCGGAGCCTCCCCGTCTTTCGGCTATGCTGACGATGCGGGCCGACTTTGGCCGCCGCGAATGAGACGACGGTCGACGTCGACTTGGGCCGCGGAAGATGGGCGGGGTGGCGACTGCGACTCAAAAGGACATGGGCGACCAGAGAATGGAGGCTCTGTTGTAAGCGGCTGACATGTTCGGTTTTCTTTCTGTAAGCAGGTTGAAAAAGAAAACGCTCTCCCAATGAAAGCCAAAGCACGAAGCGTGGCTTCTTCTTTGGAATCGGCGCAGGGCCTTAAAAAGTGTTGATCCGTGGCCAGTCAGTTGTCATCAGCAATTACATTGTTTTGCATTTGTACTGCATGTCGTAATTTTCATGTTTCCAGAACTTTCGGACTCGAAACAAAAGTCATGAGAAGAAAAAAGAACCCAAGTCATGCCAATCTGCGGACTCTGGAGTTTGTCGCTGCTTCCTCCAAACTCCAGAGCCGTCCGGAAGCCGCTTTCGGGGGGCTCAGTCCATGGAGCTTCGCCGATGTGCCGAGGAGACGGCAAAGACTTGCCGTCGTCCACGTGCGGTGCTTGCATGGCAAGGACATCAATTTGTCCACCTCCATATTCAGATCAGGTAGCATACAACTTGCATCAACTTACTGCCAGAGCTCCTGTGATGTCTTAGTCTCAGTCATGCTTTGCATGAGTCTGCTGAACACACAAGGTGGTGTGGGTGCACTTGTCAAAGCTTCCAGCTTCAGTGTTGATGCGAAGTCCTTTTTCTCCGACAGAGACTGCCTTCCTCAGATCTCACTTTTCTCTTCCCACCCATTCAAGAGGCAGTCGGTGCCCTTCTCCACCTGTCTCCCTCAGGAACTGCTCCCAGGAGATTTGCCCTCTGATTCCACGCACCTGCCGTCGGTCCGGAGCGACCGAAGCAGCGGAGCGGCTTCGCGACCGAAGAACCGGTGCCAAGCGAGATGCCAAACACCTGTCAACTGTAAAGCTTCAATAACATGTATATAAAATCAGCAGCAGATACTCGGACGATTTTGTGACAAACCAAGAGCGTGTACAGTGTACAGTGTACGTCAAACAGCAGACACTGAGCACAAGCATGGTAACATCATGTAACATCCTGTTGCTGGCTGAGACCGAAATCCGCAAGAAAAAGTTTGAAGAAATGCACCTCCATCAGCCACTGAGTGAGATGTCGCCAATCAAAAAGATCTCCAAAGGGGGTCACGCTGCCAAAGCGCAATCCACAAGCACCTGCCTCGCCCGATTGCGGAGTCTCCCCGAACTGGAGCAAAACCTATAGGAGACACTACTAACGCCCCGGCTGCAGCCATGTGCCATACGTAAACCATAAGCTGGGAGAAGAATTTCATGAGTTCAGTTCAAAGGTCACTGGAATAACTGCAAAACAAACAAAAGTGCTCTGAACCACAGCTGACTTTCCAGGACCACAAGGTCCTGAACCTCACCAGGGCCTTCACACTTTCATGTTTGGCTGCACCACACTTGCTCTCTCGGGAGTCCTCGTTCCAGAACTTGTAGATGCTGGCATTTGGCTTGGCCTCACACATGCTTTTGGTCAGGCACTCCAGCTGTGACTTTAGCTGCTTCTCTGAGGAGGCAAAACCGCTTTCCCAGGATGGTCCCGGGTGAACTCTTCCAACAAAAACCGTCTTCGCCAACTCTTCAACGGTTCGGGAAAACTGCCAAGTTGGTGCGAAGGTCAAACTGCCCAAGTCGTTCAAGTCGTCTTGCAATCGAATGGATTCGAATCACCGAGGGAAACACTGAGGGGAAACAAGGGATCCCCGCCTTGTGCAGCAGCTCAGCATCTCCTTCTCCAAATTGCCTCCTCAGCCCAAAGTGCCCACCGCTGCGTCCGCTCTTAGGGGCTTGGCAATTGACTCTTGACACATGGGAAGCCAACAATCAGTTAAAGCCCCAATGCCCAATGCGCTATAAACCTCCACTTTGCCTGAAGTGCAATCTAGATGCCACACGGCATTGGAAATGAAAGGCTCGACCAGAACAACCTGTTCAAGCAGGATTAGCACAAGTCAGAATACCGGCAACAAAATCTCGATTACAAAATCCACCATGGGATCTACACACTTCCAAACAACCCCAAGGAAACACTTATTTCAGGGGCCCGGGGTGTGTGAGAATGGAAGGTCCAAATACATCCAACTACCTCATGCCTTGTCTGCTGTTCACACAGAATTCATTCCTCCAAGATTCTTCTGACAGCTGGAGCTGGAGTTTGGATCTCAACAATCAGTAGTGTCAGGAGTGCATGCGAACCGCGCTGCACCTCTGGTCCCTGAAAGGATGCGAACTGCAAAGCCTGGGCGCGAGAGGGCTTGCGAGTGCAACGAAACCCGACCGGAGCAGACGGAAAAAACCTGCTTGGGAAGTTCCACACCGTTCATGAGGAAGGATCAAAGATCCGTCCATGCGTGTAAGTCACAGTTGATCCTGGGAGACCAAACGTTCAAAGCTTGAGGATGGAATACCTTGTTGGGTCGATTGAATTGATTCACGTCACATCGAAAAGATTTTTCGGGAGAGCAACCACACAGTGGCCAAGAAGGTCCTGCATCATCATCATCATCATCATCATCATCAGCAGCAGCAGCATCATCATCATCATTATAGCGGATGTGCGAGTTTCGATTTGAAATCATGTCGTACAGAGACCATACTTGAAGCCCTTTGTTCAAGGATCAAAAGGTGAAGCTTAGCTTTGTGTGGGTTATGAGCCCAAAGTGAGCGCAACTGCGCCACGGGTTCTCGGTTTTCGCCATGAGCGAGGAGGGCGCTTCAGAGAAGACGCCTGAAAGCAATGGGCTGCGCGCCATTGAGGACGTGCCAGCTTCGGCAGGGGTGCTAGTGCGCCCAGCTGGACCACCGACCGTGCTGAGCCCAGCAAACTGGAATCCCTTCTGGTCGGAGGGGATGAAAGAAGAAGCGATCTTGAGGGCAATTCGCACGGCAGACCTTCCGTCAGACTCCACGGAACTGGTCCCTGGTGGAACCCCTACGACTAGTCCGACCCGTGATGTTCCTGACACAGTGAAGGCCATTCTTCAAGGGCTGATCTCGGAGAATGCCCGTTTGTGGACCGAGCGTGAAGCTTGGGGGAATGGTGCAATGAACTCTCGATGGGGTCCTCCGTCGGGGTCGTGGAGCTCGCAGGGATCATGGGGATCTATGTGGGAGAAGGCACCGACATGAGGTCCTGGTCATGCTATGGATGGCGGGTTGCTAGGACCGCTGACGGGTCATGGACAACGTCAAGGGCATTTTGGTGGTGGTGGTGTTCATTGTCAGGGTGATTATGGGCCGCCCCCTCAATACCATGCAGGACCAAAAACCAGTCTCGTGGAGGTGTTCAATAGAGTTTCATCTATGGCGGCCGGAGGTGTGATACACTCGCTGATCCCAGGAGTCGCAGAGATGTCCAAGTCGTTCACTAAGGCCTGTTCAGGTACTTCAGCTCCGGAGGTTCCTAGCGGACGCTCGTCGATGCCGGGTGGCTATGAGGCTGGGGTCATCAAGGGAGGCACGGCTACTGTACCTGGAGATGCGGGACAAGACCATGGTAAAGCCACATGTGCTCCGGGAGAGGCGACCAGCGATCACGAGCCGTCGGTGATGGAGTCTGCCTCCGCAGCCGCAGGAAATGCTGGTTTCAATGGTGGGCCATCAGGAGGCTCCAATGGTGTTTGTGGTCCAGCAGGGGGTCCAGGATGGGGAGCTCACGGGCAAGGTCATGTCCTGGTTAGGCTGGTGGGGGTGGTCATCCCGGTGGAGGTGGTGGCTTTCCGGGCCCTCATGGAGGTGGTGGCTTTCCTGGTCCTCACGGAGGTGGTGGACCTGGTGGGCCTGGTGGGCCTGGTGGACCGGGTGGACCGGGTGGTGGATCCCCAGGACCCCCCGGAGGAGGTGATCCAGCTGCACCGTTTGCAGGACTTCCAGCTTGGCTTGGGGGCATCATGGCACAGCAGGAATCAGTTCGCGCTGTCGACCTGCCGCCGTTGCAAGAACTGTCGGAGTCTGAAATTGGCCCTTTGATTGCTGGAGATTGGTTGACAACAATTGGGCCGTTTCTCAGGGACATGAGCTCCTCATCATCGTTGTGGTGGGACGAAGTGTTGAATGTCGCGGGAGCTCTGTACAGGGTGTGGCTCAATTCGGAGCCGATGGAAAGACTTCGTTTGGTCCCCACCTGCTTTCCAGCGCCCTCCATGGCTTCGGATCGAGCAGAGAGGCTCGGTTGCTTTGCTGAAGGCCATCCCTGAGTCGATTCGGTCGGAGCTCGTTTCGCAGAGAGAAGTTGGGTCAGTGAGCATCATTTTCAAGATCCTCAGAGTCTACCAGCCTGGTGGCCTGGGAGAAAGGACAACTCTTCTCAAGCAGCTGGTTGATCAGAGAATTCCTTCGCAGCTTGGTGAGTGGCTCACTTCACTGCGGGCGTGGCGTCGATGGCTCACTCGGGTTCAGGAACTGGAAATTCAACCTCCGGATCCGGTCCTTTTGCTGGCAACTTTGGATCGGTATGCGGCGAGTTTGGCTAAGCTGTCTTCGCAGGTTGCTTTCCGCCTTCAGGTCACTCGTGCAGCTCTTCGGATTGATGTCGCACCGACAGAACATGGCATCCAGCAGTTTGCTGAATCCCTTCTCGCTGAAGGTGAAGCGACGTTCCATGGTGGCTCCATTGCACCGATCAAGGACGTGGTTAAGGTGAAGGCCCTGGATGGTGATGGAGGCTCGAAGGAGGATGGCATGAAACCCCGGGACGGCAAGGACAAGTCCAAGGAACCCAACGACTCCAAGGATTCCAAGGACTCCAAGAATGCCAAGTCCGATGGAAAGGGGGTGAAGTCCGATGGAAAGGGGGTGTCAGTTGACAAGCCTGTGTGCCGCTACTTCCTCTCCGAGTCCGGGTGCAAAAAGGGCCAAAAATGTTCCTTCCCACATGAGTGGAAAGGAGTCTCGAAGCAAGGGAGGTGCTGGACCTGTGGCTCCACACAACACATGAAGCCGGACTGTCCGGTGAAGGACATCCCGAAGGTCAAGAAAGAGGCCACGGAGGACTCCAAGACCAAGGAGGGGGCTGGGAAGAGCGGAGAAGGAGGGGGTGCATTGCCGGAGGCTTTGTCTTCTACATCCTTTCATCCACCAACAGTCCAACCATCCGAAGATCTGGTGAAAGAGGCAGTACAGCTTCTGAAGTCCCTGAGGCCCTCAATGAAGGCCATTGTCATGCGCTCCGTGAATCCAAAGGATGGGGTGACTCGGGCTCTTCTGGATGGTGGTGCAACGCATGTTCTGAGGCCAGCCAGCTCACCGGAGGAGTATGACAAGGCCATCCCCATTAAGGTCGAGCTTGCCGCGGGTGTCACCACGTTGAGACAGGTTGAGACCACGGGAACCCTTTTGACGGACTTCGAGACGCAAACGATTGTCCCGCTGGGAAAGGTGATCAAGCTCGGCTACAAGGCCAAGTGGGAAAGTGACTCCTTTGAGCTCTGGAACCCCTCGGGGAAGAAGGTGGACGTGCAATTGGAGGCTGGCTGTCCCACGGTCGAGCTCAAGGTGGCTAACTTGATGATTGCAGAACTGGAGTCTTATGAGGCGGGTGTGAACCGCCGTGTCATGGCCCTTCGCGAAGGAAATCCGGGAGACATTGCTCCCAGTGTGTGGAAGTGGCTCACTGATTTGAGGGCTCTATGGCCGGAAGTTCCTGATGAGCTCATTGCAAGGGTGGTGCCCATGGGAAAATGGTCCAGTGATCAGGTGCCTCTCAACCGCCGTCAACGACAAAGAGTGATGGCAAGTTCCTCGGTGATTTTGCACCTCTTCTCGGGCCCCAATCAGTCGTGGTGGAGGAAACAATTGGACTCCAACACCAGGACGGTGGTTTGCATCGATAAGACCGTGGATCCTGCACAAGACCTGCTCTCGGACCACTTGACTGGCTTTTTGGCGGAGGTGTGCGAGAAGGGAACGGTGGATGTCGTGTTGGGCGGCCCGCCGTGCAGAACTGTGTCGAAGCTGCGCTTTCGTCGTCCAGGCCCTCCACCTCTCCGTTCAAGGAAGGGGCCTGAGCGCTTTGCTTTGAGCGATCTCTTGGACTCCATGAGAGAGTTGGCCTATGGTGATGCCGTCTTGTGGATGCGCCAATTGTGGCTCTACACTTTAGCCAGCGCGGCTCGACAGCGTGCGGTGCTTTTTCTGAAGGAGCATCCAAGAGACCCTGAGGAGTACAAGCAGCCGAATGACCCCGTGGAGTACCCGTCCTTCTTTGCTTGGCCGGAGTGGGCGAAATTTCGAGACACCTTTGGTCTCAAAGAAGTCCGGCTGGACCTTGGAGCACTGGGCCATGAACGGCGCAAACCAACAACGTTGGGCACCAACATTCCGTTGCTCTTCGGCTTGAATGGCATGACCGATCATCAAGGGAGACAACAAGTTGTGAGTACTGATGCTCCCATTGAGGAAAGGACCTCGCAGAGCCGTGCTTGGGCCGCCTGGCCTCTCAAGTTCAAGGAGGAGATCGTCAAGGCCATCGTTTTTGAGTTGGATGCCAAACTTGGTGCTCGTTTGCCGGAGGACTTAGTGAATGTCTCCAAGATGAGTGCGGATCAGTGGAAGGACCATGTTCTCAACGATCATGTACCGTTCTCCAGGGAGTGCACCACATGCTTGAAGGGTGGGGGAAAGAGCAGGCAACATCGGCGAGTTCCTCATCCCGATGCAATGACCCTGAGCTTGGATGTCTGTGGCCCATTTCGCCCTGGTGAGGACTTTCGCAAGAAATCCCGCTACTTCCTGGTCGGTGTCTATGCCATCCCGGTGAGGAAGACGGCAGACGGAGAAGATCCACTTCTTCAAAGTATGGTTGATGCACTGGCCCCTCAAGAGGAGGATCAGGGAGATCATGAAGGTGACCAACTGCTGCCGGAAGCTTTGGAAGAGGAGGTGGAGTACCGGGAGGGAGATGCCAAAAGACTGGAGGAGTGGGAGCGCTTGGAGGTGGAAGCGGAAGAAGTGATCATCCGAAACTACACCCTTGTCGAGACCCTCTCTTCCAGACAAGGCTCTGAGCTGAAAGCGGGGATGGCCCGCATGATTGCACGCTTGAAGTATTTGGGCATGGAAGTGCGCAGAGTTCACAGCGATGGGGCGGCGGAGATGATGGGGACTCGGAGGTGGTGCGAAGATCGCGGCATCTATAGAACGTTCACCAGTGGAAGTGACTTCAAGGCCAATGGCAGAGCGGAGGCGGAGGTCGGCGTCATCAGACGAGGGATCAACACGTTGATCAGGGCGTCGGAGGAGGGTGAAGATCTCTGGCCACTCATGGCCAAACACATTGGTGAACGACGTGGACGGCTGCAGCTGAAGGCACTGGGGTTCTCAACGCCGGCTCTTCTTCCATGGGGCAGGAAGGTGATGGTCACTACAAAGGGCTGGGATGACTTCCAGGGTCATTGGAGGCATCGGAAGAAGCCTGGTATTGTGCGGGGCCCTGATCCAGAGATGAGCCTCACTAGCGGTGGACATGTGGTCGAGATTGAGAAGGGGAAGTACATCCGCACCAACGACATCATCCAGGCAGACAATCCTCCTTCTCTTGAGGATGTGGTGACGGTGGAGGAACGACCCGAACCTGCCAATATCCTGGATGGGTCAGTCATCCCTCGCAGGAGGTTGAGGGAGAAAACCTCGTTGTCGTGCCTCTCGATTTCTGAACTACAAGGTCGTCTTCATCGAGGTCAAGAGTGGGCAAACGAGGAGTTTAGCCGACTGGAGGTGGCCAAGTCAGGTGAAGAAGAGGCAGTCGCGCTGGTCTATGACCTGGATCGCGAAAATGAGAAGATCGAGGGATTGGTGCCGGATCCGAGTCTAGCATGCAGGAAGCTGGAGGCGGAGGCATCGCGGGTGGCGGAGGAGGCGGAGGAGCTCTTTCTTCAGACTCGCACTGTGAGCTTGCAAGAGGTGAGGAAGTCGTTGCACTTATGGATCCCTCCACTGCGCACTGAGATTGACAACTTTGACGGCAATAACGCCATCAAACGCATCGATGAGGAGCAGACCCGAAAGATCCTCGCTGATGCACAAGAAAAAGGGGAGAGGGCCGAGCTGATCCCTGGAATGGGGGTGTTCACCAGAAAGGCTGGCGATGGACGTCGACGTGCAAGGATCGTCTGTTGCGGCAACTACATGGAGCCACGGGCTGGCGATGAGGTCTATGCCACTGGCGCGGACTCCACCCAACTTCGAGCGATCCTTAGAGTTGCAGCACTTCGTCAATGGGAATGTCTGTCGCTTGATGTCAAATCAGCCTTCCTTTTGGCTCCCAAAGCTCAAGGGGAGACGGTCATCGTCAAACCTCCCAAAATCCTCGAGGAGGCTGGACTGGCAAAACCAGGGGAGCATTGGTTGGTTACTTCGGCGATGTACGGCCTTGTTACCTCTCCAAAGGATTGGAGCTCCTTTCGCGACGCTGAACTTCAGAAGATGGTCGGTGAGTTTGAGGAGGATGAGAACGACCGCTCAGGCAGACGACAATTCTCGTTCAGGCCAATGGAGGACCCGAAGCTCTGGCCGATTCAAGAGTTCACATCCGCTGCAGAAGGGGGAGATCGTCAATGGGGGAGGACCTTGGGCCACATGATTGTGTATGTGGACGACGTGCTGATGGTGGGGCCTAAAACAGTCATGGAGGCTGCAGCATCCACCATTCAAAACCGATGGTCCACCTCAGCTCCCGAGTTTGCCACGGTGGGCGGAGACTCCATGAGGTTCTTGGGCATTGAAATCCGCCGCCTGTGTGATGGATCGTACCTCCTGCATCAAGAATGCTATGCGAGAGAGGTGTTGGAGCGGCATCCAGGTGTTCTGCCTTCCCCGTTTATCAAGGTCCCGGAGGAGTTTGAGGAGGAAGAAGCAGTCTCTCTGCCGAAGGTCAAAGAAGCCCAGAAGATCACGGGGGAGCTCTTGTGGCTTTCTGGGAAGACACGCCCAGATTTGTCGTGGGCGGTGGTGAAGATGGCACAGAATGCAGTCAAGAAGCCAAGATGGACAGTGGAGCTGGGTAAGGCAGTCTTGGCCTACATGAGGTCTACTCTGGACTTTGGTTTGCACTATACTTCTCAAGCTCCAGTGGATAAAGATCCAGATCTGCAGCGAGGCCGACCTCGCCACGATGGCACCCTGGAGGTGCTTGTTGATGCATCTTTCTCACCTGGAGATGGCCACAGCGTGTCCGGCACCATCATTCTCTTGGCAGGCTGTCGCATTCAGTGGGAGTCAAAGAAGCAGACCCTAATGGCACTCTCAACTGCGGAAGCGGAGTTGACGGCCTTGGTGGATGGACTTCAAACGGGCAGATCAGTTCGAGCTTTGATCCAGCTGATCACTTCGGAGGTGGACCTCGAGCTGTACAATGACAATCGAGCGGCCGTGATCCTGGCTTCTGGAGCTGGAGGTGGTTGGCGGACACGTCACCTTCGCATCAGGGCTTGTGGCCTGTCAGAAGCATTGAAGAATGGAGAGCTGTCTCTGAGTCATCGAGTGGGCACTTCCTTATGGGCTGATGGGCTGACCAAACCACTACCTGCTCATCATCTTGGCCGTTTTTGTCGAGGAGTATGGCTGGGAGGTCCTGATCTAGGCGGTGATGAACCTCGGCACCCAAAGGACAAAAAGGCGCTGCTGTGCCCTGTGAATGGCCAGATGATGAAGTCAATGTCCTTGATGGCAGCAGGGCTGCCACTACTTCCGGGAGCTCATGCCTCTGACACGTGTGAGACAAAGGAGACCAGGGGAGAAACTGGTTCTTGGGCTGATCAGGGCTGGATTCTCTTGCTCGCAGGCCTAGTGTGTGTCTTGCACTTCATCAAGGAGTTGGGCTGGGAGCTGTGCAAACGACTTTTGTCCAAGGAGGAGTCTTTGAAGGTCACCCTGCTCAATGATCAGGCCATACTCCCGTGCAAGGGTTCTCGAGACGCTGCAGGATGGGATTTGGCCTCTACAGTCGAAGTGGGCCTTCAACCAGGCGAGAGACGCTTGGTGCCATTGGGCTTGTCACTGGAGGTCCCTCCGGGATGCTATGGAAGGATTGCCCCTCGAAGCTCAATGGCGGCAAGGGGAATTGATGTAGCTGGCGGAGTCATCGACGCGGACTATAGGGGGGAGGTAAAGGTCATCCTGGTTAACAACAGCCCGGAGACATTCGTGGTGCACCAAGGAGACAGGATCGGCCAACTCATTTTGGAAAAGATTGCCCAGGTGAAGATCGAGACTACTTCACAGCTTTCATCTACGGTGAGGGGCGACGCTGGCTTTGGCAGCACCGGAGTGGGGTCAAGAAGGCATGGATCCACAATAGGTGAGGCGAGTCAAAGTCCGGGTTTCCAAGAGCCTTCCGTTCGAAGAGTGGCACTCACAGAAGAGCATGCTTCTTTTTCCGCAGCCGACCAGCAGAAACCTTCGGTTGGCCCTCATGTGTTCTTCGATGGTGTCCACTATGCTAAGGAAGGTGAGTCAATTGCAGCCTTCATCAAGAGACTGAGGGCTGGTGAGCTGTTGGACCACCATTGGATGTTTCCTGTGACTCGCTGATCAATGAGTTGGAAAGGCCGAGCAAGGGAACTCCTACCACCCTACACGTGGAGGTCATGCAGGGCACCCTCAACATCATGATCTATAAGCACGAAGATTGGCGAAAGAAACTTTATGACACGGAGGTGGGAGCGCCGCCTTCGAATGATGGCATCACAGCCGGAGTGGTCACGTTGGGTAGACTGGAAGATGGCCGAGGCTTTGCAAGGGTCGACAATCGCAGAGGCAATCGGGCGATGATCTACATGAAGCAAAGCTGGAAGGGCATGAGTCTTTTCTACTCCCTCACCAACTCCTGCTAGAAAGAAAAGGTGAAGTGAAGGGCGGTTGACCTGAGAGGTTTCGTGCCTAAACCACGGCACTTTAGTGGTCAATGGCATTCGATGGGGAATGCTAAGATGACTTGTTTTTTGGTGATGTGGCTGCACTTTTGGAAGCCTCTTTGTCCGCCTCCCTTTTGAGAACCCGCATTTTGCAAGGGGCTTGAGCCTGTAATCTTTCGCTCGCCCATCGAGGTCCGAACATACTTCGGAGGGGAGAGCGGATGTGCGAGTTTCGATTTGAAATCATGTCGTACAGAGACCATACTTGAAGCCCTTTGTTCAAGGATCAAAAGGTGAAGCTTAGCTTTGTGTGATTATAATCATCACCATCATCATCCAAGTAAAGGTCGAACCGGGTAGGTCTAAAAGGGACTAGGAGCACTTGACACCTGACAAAAACACGTGATTGGTTGGACTCTCCGTAGTCACCACAAAAAATGAAAACTGTAAAATCATGTAAAATCAAATCCATGCTGGGGCATCCCCTACATGATGGAACCCTGCCTTCTTGTTCCTCTTAATTCCAAACAAAAGCATGGTCAGTCATATGTCATACAGTTTGCTGAAAGCTACTTCTCAACCTTCTCAGCCTCCGTCTCAGCCTTGACCTCCCGTCCAGCCACGGCGCTCGACAGACCAACCCCTCCGTCGCGGACCCGTCCGACGCGGACCCGTCGGACCGGTTGGAGAGCGTCGGACCTCCAAGGTGTCCAGCACCAGGTTGCTGAAGAGCTCACGGCAGGGACCTCGCCAAGTCGCCGCCGCCCCCCCCCCCCCACGCGGCGCGTGGACGTGGACGTGGCGCCCCGCGGGCGCGGCGAGGCGCGGGTGGCGACAGGCGGAGTCAGTGCAACTGAAACAATGCCATGTGTCCAACAGCCGCTCCTGGTCCGATACTCACACAAATGGCCAAGAAACCCAAGACATCCAGCACCGAGATGTACAAGGTGAAAGGCTTCGAGTTCAGCTCAGCCTGCATAGGAACTTCAGGAATCTTCGGCCGAAACTTTGCAGAACATGGTCCAACTCGAATGATGCCTAAAGTAAGCAGGCTAGCGCATGTGGTTCCCGTGAACAGCCGGGCCTGGTGGCAAGCATAACATGGAGGTATGCCGAGGGCCTGGGAAAGCACATCTTGCACACGAGGGTCTGAATACAAAATCATCAAGGGGTGTCAGGGGGTTGGATTTGTGCAAACACAGAGTGGAACGAACGAACCAAAAGGTGCCTTGCCTTTTGCGCAAAAAAGATCACAAGAAACTGTCAGAAAATAGCATCCCGAAGGCAGTCTCACCACCGTGAGGCTCAGCCTGGTGCTGATTTTGCAGAGGTTGAGTGGTCATAGCCTGGAAACACCAAGCATGACACTTGATCAGAGGAAGGACTACAGCTTGACATGGCACTAAGGGGGCCCGAGTCAGCAACTGGCTGAAAGCGGAACTGGGATTCGCCCATGACATTAAGATGATGTTTGAGACGTCGCTTCGGTTCACCCTTTGCACAAAGTACCGTTGGCCCGGAAAAGTACTGCTCATGACCCCCATTGCCCATTGCAAGACCACCAGTGCGGTCTTAAAGTCGATTTCAAGCAACTTCGCTCAGCTGCGAGCAAAAGAGTTCAAGAAAAATAACGTGACAGTGCGGTAAGTCATATTACAACTTGAAGCTGCCTGTTCTAAACGCTGCCGGTTCTAAGCCCGCTGCTGGTCCCGTCAGTCTTCTGGAACAATCCACTGGACAAGGCGATGCGGTCACCCGAACCTCTCGGGCACGGCGACGTCGCCACGGTCCGGTCGACACCCAAACTTCAGCCAAGTTCTTGGGAAAAAAGCGATGTCGAGTCTACATGTCATGTCTTCAACCTACGGCGGGTGACTGCGGGACTGCCATTTTGAGTGGCTCCGACTTCGAAACAGGGTCGCGCACAGCTCCGCCCAGCTCCGCCCAGCTCCGCCCAGCTCTGCCTGAGTTGGGCGATCTCAGCAACCAAACATCCTCCTCACTCTCCGAACCACCGGGAAGCTCCTGACAACGAGAGGTCCCCCACATATTGCCCACATGTCCAAGAAAGAAGAGATGTTTGATGTGGTTTGTTTCAGCAAGTGGAAAGCCCACAGACCCCAAGACACACATGCTTTTGAGACATGGGTCCAGCGTCATGTCTGCTGCATCCAAGCCCTTGCAAGTATTGACCCGTTTCCCCACAGGCGAAATCAAACAAAAAGTGGAGCACCAAAAACAGTGTTGAGGCATTCCTAGCAAAGCACCCAATGCTTCGTCAACCAAACTGATCACTACTTTGCTAATGGTGATCTATAGAAATGCTGGTCGGTGATGGCTTCAGATCTCAGGCATGTTTATTCCAACCACTGCATCTTCCACATCCAATGGTTTCTGGCGCCCTGAAGCCACTATCGAATAGCGATCCATCGATTCTTCCCCTCCTTGGTCCACCATGATCTTGGGGCCTTGAACCAGCTACATTCGCCGAACGAGATCGGCGACAACAACAGCAACACAATCTCAGACGCTGTTCTTCATCACTGCACCCCTACTGTTTAGCCAAGACTGGCGTCCCATGTTTGGCCAGTACTGAGCTTGCCACGCAAGGGTAACGGGGGAAAGGCGGCTGAGGATGGGCGCACCACTGCACGGCCTTCCAGTCACAAGGCCGGTGATCGGAGGTGGTCGAAGATGGCCAATGACCCGAAAACGGTCGTTTCAGCGGTTTCGGTCGAACAGTCGAACAGTCGAACGCCTCCACCATCTCCTGCACCGACCTTAGGGGAAAGAGAGAGAAAGAGAATCCCTGCACAAGCAGAAAATGGTGACCTGAGTGACCCGCTTGCACGCACAAATACCATTTCTTGCAAAGAACAGACCGAGGACGGCACCAATACGTCGAATTGGCTCCAGTCTCTGCAAACAAGTTGTAAATGTCTGTCAGTGTGCCTAGACGACATTGAGCACGCATTCCCAGCCCTTCCTCTCTCCACTCTCTGCATATTCCCAGCCCTGCGGGCCTGCTCTACGACCTCTTCTTTTGCACCCAGACCTTCCACCTCAGACCTTCCACATGTCCTTTGAAAACTCGACAAATCGGCGTTCGACCAGCCTTCTCTGCCCTTTGTTCCATTCAAACTCGACTCAGCTCAGCTCTGCTCCGCTCTGCTCCGCTCCAAACTGTTCTCAGTTCTCGTCTCTGAGCCTTCTGGCGTGCGGCTTCTTTGAAGTTCCAATCTCGAGACAAAGCAGGAGCTGCCAGCCTTGGGCCAGGTCGAGCTGCTCCACGGACCCCCGAAGGTCTGTTTCGTTCAACACAAAGCGTGTCAGCCATGGATAGAGTCTCTCGTGTCGAGTGACCCCAAGGACCCCATGGCAGCGAGCTCTTTCTAGTGTTATCTATTTTGCGGGTACGATAAATCTGCAATGCTGCAATGCTAGCTTGAACAAATAAGGACCTTCAAATTCCCCACAAACCCTTTTCCACCACGGAAAAGAACTGTTGCAAAAGTGATTGATTGTCTCTTGGAAGGTGTGGTGCTTTCTGGCGCGATGCGTGGCATGCATGGTTGTTTTTGTTGAGCTGTTTGTTATTCGTCCGACTTGGGTGGGTGGAAGGGGTGGGGTTCTGTAAGTATGTTTGGTAGGTTGCAGTGATCTTGCGTTGGGCAGTCTGTAGTTTGTGGATGGTGGGACTACCAGGAATTTCAAGAGCCACTTGCTTGGAAGTTTCTGCTTAAGCTTGCAAGTGTTTAAACGGTCGTTTGGACGTTGAACCCAAAGCAAAAGTGCCAAGCAAGACCTGATTTCATGTCCTCTTCAAGGACCTCAACGACCAAGATGGCTACGGACCTTTGGCCTGAGGGCCTGTGTTGAGCAGTATGCGCGGCATGTTGGACAATTTGTCCAGCTGTATGGAGGCGACACGGGTGTCGTCATGCCTGTTATAGGTTCACTTGTTATAGGCAAGGTCTGTGACTGGTTTAAGAAGATGTGAAATCAGAGGCTCCCACACAAAGGTCTTCCAATCGGAGTGTCGCTGCAGTGCACTTCCTCACAAGTAGACGAGCTCAAATGCCAGGAAGGGTCTATTTTGTCGCAAGGTTACATGGTGTAGGAAAGTCCCAGGCAAAGTCCGGTCAGTGGAATCTGAAAACATACACAAGAAGTATATGAGTCGTCCAGCTGAAACTTGACAATCTTAGGATAGCCCATGCCTCTGCCCAATTTCACCGTAAAGGCATGGCCCACGATCCCAAGGTTCCACTCCTCCACGTCCAAGGGCAGAAAGGCCTTGCCTGGAGCGATGTTTCACCAAGAGACACCGAGACTTCTCCCTCGCACAGTTGGAAGGTTTGGGGGTTTGGGTTCCGGCAACCTGGAGCCCCAAAAGTCATTCTGCTCTGGCGGACCCTCCGAGGTCGCCCCTTCGCCAAGCGCCAGCGGACATGGAACAAGAAGCTACGAACGGAGCTACTAGGGCATCGCTACGAACGGAGCGATCGGACGCTACGAACGGGGCTCCTGGCCTTGCTACTAGGAACAAGGACGCTACTATGTGTTTGTTTGAGTTCCAGTTGCAAGACCCGATGAACATTGGGCATGGACTGAGTGCCCCTGGCATGGACTTCTCCATCAAGGACACGGCGAAGATCTCGGGGCCTAGAACGTAAGTGATTAAGGGATTTGAAAACCAAGGATGGTTGAACTGTCAAGGATAACTCCAAGTCGCAGCTTTCCCCTTTCATGAAAGTACCCAAGATGTTTGACTTTGAACTCTGAACTGCTTCTCTGGCTGTCTATTGAAAAACTGCAGTTCTTGTCGTGCTGCTTGTGCTTGACCTGGACCTGGGAGTGGGTCACTCGCTCTGCCACTGCGCTACTGCAACGAAGTCATGACTTTCCGTGGTGACTCAAAGAGATGGTCTTCGGTGGATTCTTCACCCGCCCAAAACAAGAACACGGAAAAACCCTGCGACCGGCCGTGTTTGGTTTGGCGCAAACCCGAAAACGCCCCAGCCTCCGTTCAAAAGCTCCGCTGCTTCCCTCAGCTTCCTCCACCTGTGTCATTTTTCGGGCATTTCTGGTCGAAAAAGAGCATTCTGATGCCGACTCCAGAGGTTTCATCACTCGGGGCCATTGAGTCATGAAAAATAAGGCCGTCGGTGTCATAACCCGATGATAGAAAATTCGGAGATAGACGCAGATCTTCAGAGTGTGGGCCAAATGCTGTCATGGACTTGATGAGAGCAAGTGCCAGTTTGCAGTGCCAGCTTCTGTCTTACTTGATTGACTTGATGTTATAGATGTCCGAGCATGTTGGGGAAATTGTCGGCATGAGTGTAATGACTTGCGTGCAGGTACAAAGACAGTCTGAACCAAACTCTCTCCACTTTCTGCATGTGGCGAGGGACGCAACGTGCGCATCTTCCGTTTCCCATGTCCATCTCATGAAGCCATTGAAGAAACAAAAACTGTCGAAAAACATTCGACTGAGTGTTCCAAATAGACCCACTAACAACAGTGTCAAGACTTATGGAGCTTCGAGCAATATCAAAAAGGGCCAGGGTATCTACGTATCTCTGGGTTGCCCGTGCACATGTTCAGACCTCAGTTGGCTGCAAAAGGCATCAAACTCAGGAGATTCAGTTGGCCTCTGCCTTTTATGCCTTTGTCACTTTATGTCCAAAGGGGGGTGCGAGGGGCTAGTGAGTCTAGTTGGCTGAAAAATGAAACCAGAGAAAGGAGGGTACAAAAGCCAGCCCCTGTAGGGATTGAGAAATGTTTAGGTTATGTAGGCACGGGACAAGAGAAGGCAGAGACATGCAAAGTTCCACATTGACGCTTGATATGATAGAGCCAATATACAAGGGCATAGGATAGATTTGGATTCCAAGTGACTGCACAAACGTTCAAATCTTTGGATAATGCAGCTCGAGGGGGTGCCCTTCTTCGTTTGGTTTAGGATCCTTTTCAGTAAAAAAGGGCACCCTTAACGATAAGTGCTCGCGAGATTTTGTTCACTTCGGGGTAGGGAAGTAAGCACAATGATGGACTGTGTGTGGCACACTAGCAACTGCTATACAGTTCTAGGGGTGCCTTTTTGCTTCTGGTCAAGGACGCCTTTCACATCAAAATGGGCACCCCCAATGACAAACCCTCTTCCGATTGTTTTTTTGCATGATGAATTTGGTTTGGCATCCGCGAAAGGACACATTTTCCTTTTTGGTGAAGGAGGCTCCAACAAGAGATCTAGCAAGTTAGAGTCTCCTGTCCTTCACCTGCCACCTGGGCTCACACACCTGGTCAGCTCACTTTAATAGTCTCCTGAGATGCTGATGATGCACTGCTCAACATCGTTTGCATCACTCGCATCATCAAGACCCTTATTATAAACATACATGTTCACTTCGCTCTCCCCCACCAAGCTCTGCATTCACCAGCTCGGCCACCCCCCATTGCAGCCCACTGTCTCACTCCTCACACACAGTGACATCGCTTCCCCAGCCCACCCTTTACCCTGGAACCCTCTCCCCAGCCCTCATTCAACCCCTCATTCGCTCGGATAGCAGTATCGATTGTTTTGAAGGTTTAAAATGGTTTGAAAAAGCTGAAAAGCAAGGTGTCAGCCGGTTTATTTCGGGGCGATACCGCACGAGACTTCTTTGTTGGTCGTCGTTTTGGAACAGAAATCAATCCATCACAGTCGCAGCAAAATTCTCTGTGTCTAGGCGCCGCGGCCGAAACGGCAGCAAATGCCAACTGCTATGAAGAAGCACTGTGAGACCTTCACAGCCATGCGCCTGGAATTCAGTGCTAGGTGCATGCAGAGAGTGTTGAGATGGATCCGGCCAACAAAGCAGCCAAACTCCATGCATGGAGACACCGAGTGTCCCCTCCTCGGTGCAAGAGTGCGGAGCGGTGTCGAGTGGTACAACATCACAGTGCAGCAATGCATTCTTGGATTACACCAAGCTTGATCCTCCCAGAGCAAAAACAGCTCGAAATCGGGATGGCGAAAAGAGGATTTGGATGGTGAATCAACCCAAACCTTCTACCATCAACTTGAAAATCCTCTCATTTGCATCTCAGCTCAGCATGACCACCATGGCTTGCTCTAAACAACTCATGCAAACGTCTAACACCACCCTACTTGGGGTCAAAACCATGCTCAACCCAGGCGAACAAAAGGAGAACTGACTGCGGAAACCTCCAGGCCGCCGGCCTATTCCTCATTTACTGCTCTCCTACCTGTGACTACCTTTTGCCAACACATGAGGGTATTAAAGTCTTCCCCAAGAAATCGGTTCCACGGGTGCCTTCATGTCACAAAGCACCAAAGCGCTGCTCCCAAAGCGCCGCTGAAGCCACCATAAGTACCAGCCCTGACGAACCAGTCCCGACAATCCAGTGTGATATTGTAACGACGAGTGCGTGGAACTGTGAGGCTTTGCAGACTTGCAAAACAAAGGAAGACACGGGCTTTGCCAGCAACGACATTTGTTCGATTCCAAGCACATCTGGAAACAAATGTGAACACCGCTCAAAAATAGATGTTCCGACTCCCAAACAAATGTCTCTTGAAAACCAGTTCTCCATGGTCTGAGCCTGAGGAGCACCTGGGTCTGACCAAGCGCCTTGAAAAAAGATCGTGTTTTTTTCCCTGGAAAGGTGCCTTGAACTGATCAGACATCCAAAGACCCAGTAGAATGTCTAGTCTTTTTTCTGGAACATCTGTTTCCTGTGTTTGCACTCAACTAGACATCTGCTATCTTAGCCGATTGGACTACCAAAGGTCAGCTGAAAATGCAAGTCACCCACCTGCTGAGACAAAGTCTGTTGGCTTCAACCAAGCCTGCCTGCGCATCCTCGAAGACGAACCACAAGTTTGCCACCCCTGGCAAAAAGTCCTTTCACCAGGTTGCATCCCCTGGCGCTGAAAATGCCCCATGAACCAGGAAAACAACCTCGCATCCTCGCTGAAAACACCATCGGCTCCTGCCGTCGCCAAGGTCTCCACCGAGTTCCGAAGAAGCGCCAGGTGGTCGGACTCGTGGCGAATCTCGAAGCACAACCTGCAAAGCCAATCGTCCCGCAGAGGTGTCTTGAGGATCGGAGGATCGGCCCAAGCACCCAAGCGGCCCGTCGGCGTGGCAAGTGGTACTTCCGCAGGCTGCGGCCCACTGCATCGGTGTGTGACTTCAAATCAGGAAGACCTTCCAATTGTATAGACCAGTGTACCCATAATTTGGCTGTGGCTCCAAAATGAGCTCTTCCGATAATAGCCCCACAGGTGTTGGTCGGCCAAATGGCCTTCAAGGGTTGAGCATTCCGATTTTGCGGGATCCATAGCCGACCTCCGACCTGCCCCTTCTCACAGGCGTAGCAGAAACCCACTTTGGAAAAGACTCGTAGATACACTCTTCTTTGACCACAGAACGGCTGCAAGTCAGCACAGGGGCTTCACAAGAAACTGGTGTGGTTTCTTATGGCTTCTCAAATCTCTTGCGATCACCTAAGGATCTGATTCTTTAGCGAGACCGCTTGGCCGAGCAGCTCCTTGAGCAACCCTTGTTCCATGCAAATCGAAAGAAACCACCACCGGAACTGCTCCAGTCTCCCAAACTGCTCACCATTGTCGGAAAAACTGCTCACCTTGAAGCCACACCAGCTTCAACCTCCTGGCTCCATCGAAGGAAAGCGCGTGACACGTCAGAGCATCAACACCGCCCCCCTTTCCGAAGACCCGGGGCTCCTTCACGTGAAGATGTGAAACGGAGTGATTCCCACCTCAGGGCCACCCAAGTCAAACCAATGAAAGGCAACGTTCTCCAACGGTCAGGACCACGAAGAAAAAGACGGCTTCCAACGGTCAGACCTCGGCACCCGCACCAGCGCTGATCCAAAAGGCGCCACGCAACGAGGTCGGACCTGCACAGGTCCAGACACAGCTTCTTGGGTCGGCTGGAGGGTTCGTCACGTGCGCTTCGGGCGTTTTGAAAGAGGAAATCCGAAATCTCAGATTCTGAAGTTCTGAAGCTTCTATTATAAAACCAAAAAAACTAGAAGCAAACTCCCGGACCGGAGCTGTGTTCTGCTATGGTGCTCCTTTAAAGTCCACATCTCCAGTCTGAGACGTCCGCTGTCTGCCCGCCTGAGATTGAGGGCATGTTGAGGAGGTCAACGATCCGTCGCCTGAGAGCGCACTTGACGGTCGGTCGACGACATGGGACGACCTGGGACGAGCTCTGCATCATGACCTCTGCTTGATAATCCCGCCCATTTTGAATTGGACATCCTCTTATATATATATATATATATATGTATGTGTATATATATGTTACATACATATGTATATATATATATATATGGGGGGTGCAATAGAATCATCAAGAGTCTACATGACGCTTGTGTAGACTCTACTTGAATCTCGTGAATGTCTGTAACCGTCCGCATATGGCACACGAAGAGGTTTTACACATCTTATCCTTTTTCGACTGGGCAGCCGGGTGCGGCTGTGCACCGAAGGAACCGAGACAGGGCTCCCAGGAGCCGTAGCCAAAGCAGCGGCCTGAAACGAAGGCGTCGTTGACGGTCCGGTCCGGCACGTGGACAGGACGGTGGTCCCGCCATGAGGGCGGGCATCCAGTTTTGGGACGCAAGAGAAGCTGTGATGAGACACTGAGACTACAGTATGATTTCGATGAAAATCCCATCACTCACCCCAAGTCGGCCCACTTCCACCCTGATCAACAAGAGCATTCAGAGCACTTGCGGGAGGATGTGGGTCTTCTCTATATGTTTAGATGGGATTCGACTTTCTTGCTTTGTGTCCTCCATTCCGCAAAGTCCGATGTCTTTTCCACCTAGTTCCTCTCATATGTTCCCCTCACAACTCTCTTGCAATGCCACCCGCCTAGTTCCACCGAATATGTGCTCCTTGCTCGTTTCGTTCAGGTTCAGAAGCCGAGCCGCAAATTTCACACTTCCTCAGCAACCGGGTCCCGGTTGCACTAAGTTGCCCTTCAACTGCGCTGACCTAGTAAGAGGCGATATTGGTTCATGAAACTCAAAAGGACTCCAACGACCAAGGACTCAAAGGTCTCAAGAATCATTCCAAGGAACCATAGGTCTGCCTCGGCTGGTTTGTGGTTGAATTCGTGGGCGAAATCAGCTTTGGGGTCTTTTTGGCAAAGAGGTGCCTACACAAACCGAGCTGCATGGGATCACCTTCCATGAGATATCCAAAGAAGAGCGACACAGCATGCGCCAAGGCGAATCCCACCGGACATTGGTTCTTCACCTGACAGGATCGATCCAGCCAGGATCGATCCACATCCAAGCACGAGTCTACAACTGTACCGGCCCTGTGGCTCCGTCGATCCCTGTCTCCACGCCTCGGAAAGGTCTCCCAGGTCCTCAGGCACGGTGGACGGGTGCTTTCTCGGGGCGTTCGGGGCAGCGACCGGGGAGTAGACCGAGACGAAGAACCAAGAACGGCGAGCATGGCCATGAAGGCAGCCGTGCAGGTTTGCTGAAGTAATGCCAAGTGTAGTACGAGATGATCATAGGACATGAGGGTGTTTCTTTCCCGTGACGCGATGCAAACGAAGGATCGCGATCCAGAATTTCGTCGGCCATGGTCAGTAAATACCTGCATCGAACACCAGAAGTACGGCTTGCAACATCTTCTGAACCAAATCTATTCGAACAATCACTGTCAATCAAAAACGAAACACTGGAAATATATGCGAAACACTGCATCAACGGTCCTTCCTTGACCCTCCCCCGCCTACCAGGTGCCGATTTCAATGTGCAGGCCGGGGAAAAGGCGCATTGAAGCACCTGCCGGATCGAAATGAACTGGCAGAAGAAGACATGTTCCAAACCCAGCTTGAGGACTGCAGCTGTCAGCTCAAACCAGACCATCATCGCATCACTGAATTGTCCATCGCCTGCATGGCCCTCGCCCGCAGGTTCAGCCACAGAGACACCTGGAGGTTCGGGCCTTGGGACGGGCAGGTTGGACGGACAGGCGCAGCAGCCGACTTCACTGAGCGCTCCAGCACGAATGCGGGCGCCAAGCCCGGCGAACGGGCGCGTGGCCTCGGCCGAGGAACCGGCGATCGACGCGGATGATGCGGAATCGGTCGCGTAGGTAAAAAAAAGGAGGTCGTCCCAAGCTTCGAGCCTCTCCAAGTGGCCACCTGTTCAAGCTTCGGAACCATTCAACGGCCCAAAGTTCCATGTCCTTTTCAGTTGAGTTGATGACCCCTCATGACTTTATTTCTCCACAGATCGATGCAGACAAGAATCGCTGAGCCACCTTTTGAGACATGCGTTGTGTTTGTCCGTTCTTACCCTGCAAATTGCAGTTGAATACAAGACATCAGCCTTCTTTGGATGTGCCCTGTAGCATCTTATCTCTGGGTTCATGAGGCAAGAAAGAGTCAAAAGGCCACACCAAAACAGCTTGACGCCTCAAAGAGATGTCCCAGAAAATCCACCTCGAGTGGCGGGAGAAACAAACCTTTGAGATGTCTGCTTCCCGGTTTCCTAAAAAGATCCGCTGAATGGATCACCGATGGTTTGGTAATTCAATTGAGCGATGGCTCGGGACAAATGGTGCATCATAGAATGGGCCACGCAATGCTCCGCTTACTTGGCATCGGTGCAAGGGTTGCTTGCTGCAACCAGGAGACATCTGCAGCTTTCACTGCTTTACCAACATGCAGCCTTTGCATCAAGGAAACAAAGGCAAAGTCAAAGCAAGAATAAGAGGAATTTGCCAAAAAAGAAAAAGGATGGTTTTGCTTGCTTAGTGCCGGCCAGCGTCTGAAGAGACGAATTTTTCGATATGGGCAATTGAAGCGAACCAAGATTGAACTCATTGATCTTCAAATAAGTGTCCTTCACAAAACTGAGAGTTCTTGACCAAAAATAAGAGACCACAATGCAACAATCACCACTTGGGCTCAATGCTGAAAGTCCGGTGTAACAAAACAGGGAGACCGGGCCTGCAAAGAGATGTGCAATTCCAGCTTGCAAAAGGAGCCCGGGGCCAGCCAGTTCTTCCCCAGGATGACCACGGTCTCCTCCCGCCGCTGAACTGCGGAGTCCTCCTGCAGCAATTCCGCCAGCTGATTCCAAGCCCCAAAAGCAGCGAGACAGCCATGCCATGCCATGTGGCCTGCCATGCCCACAGCACCCGCAGTATGATCTGATCTTTCTCAGCCAGGGTCAAAACGACCTGAAGGGTCAACGGTCAGACGGTCCGCAGCACGGCGAGCGCAGCACGGCGAAGGTCCGACCCTTTCCTTTTGGGTTTCCAAGGCTTTCCATGCTCAGCCAAAAGGGCGCCCTCAGTTCCTGGCTTGGCGGTTCAGGTCGACCAGAGGCGTTCGGAAACGGAGCCTCAACGAGGCGCCATCCAGGTCTCCTGATGTCGTCGGGCGGACTGCTGGTCACTTGGTTCTTCAGAGGCGAAAGCCGTGCCTAAAGGCCAATCCACAGACCTCAGAGTTTGGCGAAAGCCCCAAACAACAAGCATCTGCAAATGAACTGCAAGTGCAGCTGCAGGGCGACTCATGACTCGTCAATGGCTGCAAAATCCCAACGTCTGCATCTTCTGCCTCCCAGACGTAAATGACATGCACGAGTTCATGATCACAAGTCAACACGGCATGGTGACCTGACTATGAGTCTGATAGATCTCTGCGTCTCGCCTCCAAAAGAGCACCAAAGTCCTGCGAAGCCGACAATCTCTTTTACGTTTCAGCACCAAGCAGCACGACACAGCCGTGCCTGTGTCGCAGCGCACCATGTCAACAAGGACTGCGCCCAGCAATAGATTCCATGCATGGACAGTAGCGCCCATGCTGAACTCGTTGGGTTCTGAAATTGATGTTATCGCCCTTTGCTGTCTGCCAATGACAAAAAAAACTGACTCAACTTCAATCAATGAGAATTTCCGAATACTGAATATATATAGTCGTTTCGAAGTGCCGTGTGGCAGGTCATTGGTGACAACTGTTGCTGCAACTGTTTGCTGTTAAGAACACCGGAACAAATAAAGAACACCGCAACACCGGATTTATGTTTAACACCACAACATCTGCACCTATCAACTGTATAAATGAATTACCTCTGCGCATTGTTGAGCCACCGCATGCAAAGGATGCTGTTTAAACCTAAGCGCTTGCTTAGAATAACAACATGTTTCAACAAAAACATGTTGGTGATTGTGTGGCGAAGTGCATGGACGGGCACCAACTCACCAACTCAACTCACGCCAAGTCGACTCACACCAACTCAACTCAACCTCAAAACATTCACTCACCCACCCAGCCACTCACTCACTCACTCACTCACCCACCCACCCACCCACCCACCCACACACACACAAACAGGCCCTCCCTTCCCTCCCTCCCTCGGTCACTCGTCCCTGCAGCCCTCCGCGGCCTCTATCACGCGGATTCTAGTCCGTGGCCTTCACAGCTCAAAGTTTTTCTTGCAAAGCCTCCACGGCCTCCGCACTGCGGAACAAAGAATCCCTCAAGTCTCCACATGCCAAACATCGCTCTCCTTTCTTTGCTTTGAAGGCCAAACACAAGAACAAAGAAAAATGATGACTTTGGAGGTCCAACCAGGAAATTTAGACTTCGACTTGCCTGAACAACATTGCATCACAAGAGAGAGAATGCCCGGTCTGCCTAAGCAAAACATGCAATTGGAGCGTTTCAAGCGCAAACAGACAGTTCTGGCGTCAAAACTGCCCCTTCAGAAAGAAGCAGCAGTTCTGCTGTGGGCAACAATCTGCACGGCCCTCCACATCCGCAGCCAAGAAACGTAGCGCAAGCCGTTTCAGCCCATATGTGGAAAGTACGCACGCTTTCAAGTTGCCGGGACTCAAACATCTTCGACTGGGAGCGTCCTAGCCGTCAAAAAACGAAAAAATTGACGAGAAAAATGTTTTGTTTTTGTGCGCTCACTTGACCCAAAGTCACAGTCGGTTCAGACTGTCTCAAAGCTTACAAGAAGCTTCTCAACTCTTCTCAGAAGAGGCTCGACTGTCCACAGTCTTCCAAAACACATCTCATACCTGCCAAAAAGGTAAGAATATCTCCAAACAATCTCAAGCTACCTCAAACTGACAGAGCTCCAACAGGTGCTTCTCTAAGTGCGCTCCTAGCCACTTCTGGTCACATCACATCTTTACTGCTAAGGTGGTCAAAGCAGAAACACCAAATGGACCACAAACAGGCTACACGCTGTCTTTCAGACCCTTTTGGGTCACATTGCCACCTTCTGTCTCTTTCTCTTCTTCTCCTGAAAAACCTACTTCCTTGAGTAAATAGATTACGCACGTCCTAAACACAAAGCAAAAGCACGTGCAACAGCTCACAAGCAACGCGAAAGCCTTTTACGCGCACTCTCTGGGCCTTGAGCCAAAGTAAAGTACAAAAGGTTGTGAGGTATTCCTGCATACAAGCTATTCCCATGCGAGACACTGAAAGTGTCGAGCTTAAACGCACTCAAACATGCACAAAACTATTCAGGAAGTGTTAAAATTACAAAAGCTACAAAGACTTCTGTTCACGAAGCTTCCAAACATTGTACATTCCATGAGCTATGCTCTCCAAAGCTCTCAAAACATTTCGAAACACAAAGTTCCGTGAGGAACGTTTGCTTAAACACTCGAAATGCAAAACTATGCACTCCAAAAGCACAAACCTCACAGCTACTGCATTAGCCTGCACCTTGCTACCTCACACACTTCACACCCCCTTTCGAGGTGAGGCTCATTCACTCTGAGCTGGTGGTGACTTAAGTAGAGGTGGTGGTTTCAGTCCACTAAGGAGTCTGAAGCCCCGGTAGAGTCTCGGACGCCCCCGAAAGCCAAAGCATGGAAAGCTGAGGAGCACTTCGGGTATCGAGCGACTTGCGAAAGAAAACCTGAAGGTTGCTCGCATGATTGCATGAAGGCCCTGAGGAAAACCATTTCTAGCGGCTTATGAAGGCTTCAAACTGTCGAAAGCACAGCAACAGCGCAGCCGATTCCATGTGGTTGCGAAGCAGAGACTTTCCTACCAGAGTGGTCACTCCTCCCCAAGGGGAGGAGAACAAGGAAGCATCGTGCTTCTGTGACAATTGCAAACTACTCACCATGTGGACATTTCGGAGACCAGCGTCGCTGAAATTCGAGAGTTCACTTTCGTTCATTGTACAGGCTGCATGACATCCGACTTCCATGCGCAGTATCGATCCATGTGAAAGCCTTTGTGGACTGTGCGGCATTGCAAGCTTGCCATTCCACCTCAGCGCAAGACTTTGATTTTTTTTGGCACGGGTAGAGGCGCTGTGTGTGCCGAGAGGCACAAGTCACCTTGGTTGAATCAAACAGGGATACTAAGGAGCTACGAGTCAGGCACCAGAACAGAAAACAAAACAAACAACCAACAACCAAACACCACAAAAACACCAAAACAGGCCAAGCTCGTATCTCATCTGTGCTATCAGGGCAGAACCGACTATCTTTAAATGAAGAGGTGAAACGGGGCAATGAATTCATGAGTCAGCCTGCGCTCAGTTCGTGCTGATCAAGAAGTGGCAAACTTCCTTTTGGCGGGCAGTGAGTTCTCACGCAATATCTATTGCGGACGAGTCTGCCTGGCTGCTCAAATGTGTGCAGCAGTGTGGAACTTTGGCATCGGAGCACTGTAGAGAGGCGAATCGTCACTCATGTCGAAGGGTACGAAATTGCCTCTGTAGGGTGTAATTTGTGTCAAACAAGTTAGATCAGTAAGGCACAGTGCACCAGCAGGGAGAGGTTTTCTTCCTGCAAGCATTAGTTATATACTTCTGCACTCCCCACGGAAAAAGGGAATGATCGCTGCAGTTTGAAACTCACCATGTTCAAAATTCCAAGGAAGGTTGGCAAGGCGTAAATAGATTGAGCACTGATAGCTCTGCACTAATGGCTAATGGCTAAACTGATATCGAGATGCTCAGGGAAGTTGGTTGTCAAACTTACGAAAGCAATGACCTGCAGAGGACATAGGACGGGATGAACCAAGACAAGCAGTCACCCAGCCCAGGCAAAGGAGGTGACAAGAGTGCGCTCCATGACAGCGGCTCCAATATGGCAATCGGGAGCGGCAATGACGAAGCGACATGACCTTTCTGTTGACAAGCCTCCACGAGTTCAGCATCTCCTCCTTGAAATTTGAGTGCTCTTGGATCCGTGAAAACATGCAAGCCCCATGAACTACGTGAAACAGTGAAACGCCGCTATGTTCGATGAACTGTACACACTGTACTCTTCCAAGCCCACCTCTTGGAAGGCAGCACTGGGCACTGACTATCTGCTCAGCTTAGGCAGCAGTGTCAGCATTTCGGTTGGCAGGTATGTGTCTTGATCAGGACCTGCAGCCAGATGCCTGTCGGAGTGTTTATTCTTTTCAGCAGTTCTCTTCTGCACAGCTTCTCATTAAGTCAGCCCACTCTTCTGGCCGTCGGTCGGTTTGGGGAGAAGGCGGATCCATTTGGGAAGTACAAGTTGTGCGCAAAATTCGGCTTGTTGTTGTTTATTTGCATTGCGCAGTGTCCTTAGACATTGTACAACTTCAAGTGGTGTCCTTAGACACCATTTGATCGCAACTTTTTGTCCGCCACCCCTTGCAAACACTCTCAAAGGGTGTCCTTTAGACACCTTTTGAGCTTCGTTATTAGGCTCTGTCTTCTCCTTGAGTCTTTTGAGGCAAAGGGAATTCTTGCACAGCTTGCCATTTTCGTGCTTTAGGTCAGCTTTATTGAAAGTTTTGCCTTCGACACGTACGCTTGCTTGACTGGAGTTGTGTCCTTAATCCAAGCTAGACCTTCGGTGTGGTGTCCTTAGACATTGCACTGTGAGGCCTTTTCGTCAGGTATCCAAGTTGTCTCTCTCGAGTGGTGTCCTCAGATACTGTTTGAGAACAGGTGACTCTATTGATACCGCGTCTTTAGGTCCGCATTTTTTGTTTTCGAAGACAGTGAACCTAATGCTGAGTAAAGATACTGCAGATCTGTGAGAAACTTCGAATCTTTTCCGTAATTAGGCTCAACAATGCTAAGAAGAGCCTGACTCGGGCGGTAGGGCGATCTGATGTGCAAGGAAGTCATATTTTCAGACCGGATAGCCTAGATAGCTGTAGGGTGGCGCCTGCCTGCTCATAACACCCACCTTTGGAGGACAGAAGTTTGCTTGGCCCTTCCGCACAACCTTCATGCCAGATACGCCAAGGGGGCTCATCCCCTCTGCCCTTTTTTGTCTTGATAAGATGTCTTAACAAAATCTTGGCATGCGAGTGTTGAGTAAAGCAGTGGGCTTGAAGCCCTGCGCGTCAAGCTCCTCTATGCCAAGGCCCCTTGGGGCCATTCATTCGCCGCCAGTGGGCTCCAAGCCCTTCACGTCAAGATCCCTGATGTCAAGGCCCTTGACTTGAGGCCATTCATCCGCCACCAGTGGGTCACAGCTCCTATAACGTCAAGGTCTCTTGTGTCAAGGCCCGTGAGGCCATTCATTCGATGCGGCCTTTCTTTCGCCAGTGGGCTCAAAGCCCTTCACGTCAAGGCCCTTGAGGCTATTCGCCAGTGGGCTTAAAGCTCTTCATGTCAAAGGCCCTTGAGGCATCATTCGCCGCCGGTGGGCTCCAAGCCCTTCGCGTCAAGATCCCTGATGTGAAGGCCCTTGAGGCCATTCATCTGCCACAAGTGGGCTCAACATTTCTCACACGCAGGTGTTAGTCCGATGTAACCATCCAGAACCCACAGCTTGCATTGGTAAATATAAAAAGATGCTTGGTTTGTACTTTGTTTGTCAAGACGAAGTGCCTTATTGCTCTCTGCCTGCTTGGAATACAGG